TTGAGCCTCAATTTTATATTTTGAATAAATTTTGAAAGTAAATCAAGATTCAATAATATTTAGTAGTATTTGGAAAGCTTTATCCAATTTTTCGATTTTTCAATATTTCTGTGCAACTAATTTTTTTCTTCTTTCTTCCAAGAGAATATCAAATTTTACTTGTTATTTGAAGATGCTTGAGAATATAATGTTAGGTGGTGCCAGTTGAAATCTGTCTACTCATCTCTGGCTCACCGCTACCGTTTTAGGGTGTGTTTCACAGCTTTCTGCAAGTGTTGCTAACAATCGTCGTATCTCTGTTTTCCTTAATGTATCTGAGAAGGGTTCAATATTTTTGCAGCACTTGCTATGAGCTATGAACACGTCAGTCATACTAGAAAAAAGAACTCAGAAAACCAGACTCCTCGGGGTACGTTCAAACACCTTTTTAGAGTCAACTGTAGTATGATTCTATTCCTATTCATGATAACGACAATAAAAAAGAGATGCAATGTGCCCGTATTACCCTGAATAAGATTTTTGAATTTACCCTTGACTTTGCGAACAGGTTAGTCTATAAGGGGTCAGGTGCCGTCACATGGAGAGTACTTTGCGTACCGCTTATATCCCGCAGCCAATCAGGAAACTGTAATTCCGTTCTATAATCTACCGGAAAACTAACGATAATTTGTGATTAGCTGGTGCAAGTTACAGAGATGAGTAGGGTAATGCACAACGCTACGATTTTGTATACGATACCAAAATCGTGGCGCTAGTAGCGTTGTGCATCTTCCTACTCATCTTTGCCTATAATGGATAGATTACTTACAATTCTTGTATTATTATAGGCAAAATACTAAAGAAACTAACATTAGTGTAAACAGAGTGCAGTTTGCCAAAGCCATTGTTAGTGAAACGTCCCCTCATGCTTTATCTCTCATAACTTTAATAAAGAACAGGAGACCACTCGAGTGAACCAATGATAATTATTATACTTCGCTCGACACTTTAATTGTAAGTAACGCCTTAGATGCTTTTCTAACTACCCACTTGTGTCGGCACATGACTTTATTATTGGTAATTTCAAGTACGAGTAAATATCCAGCTAGTCATCAATCATCTAACTTGGAATACTTCCACTACGCATGGCGTTAGCTGACATTAATTATGACCCAAAATTTGGGTCTTTTCCAATATATGAACTATTATTTTCTCTCTAATCTTACTTGCTGGTTAGTATATAAAACTTAAGGTAATTCCTTTAGTAAGCCTAAAAGAAAAAGAACTCCATGGATACATATGCGGTAATCTGTCCTTCGCCAAGGTATTTTACAGAACATTAGATGTAGAAGGATGAAAGTTTTCTGCACCAAAATACAAATTGCTTATTAGAAAATTAAACATTATAAATATCGTTATCTATACCGAATCGATAGATAGGGATACTGGGAGATAAGAAGGAAATATATCCATTAAACGCAACACATCGTCCCGCAGTTTCATAGAATCGCCTGTATCTCGGAACAGTTAAAAAAATATTTTTGTAAACGATAAAAATAAGGAAAGATAATTTTTCAATGACTTCCTTTAAATACGACAAATTTAATGTTAATGACAGAAAATTAAAAAGTACCTCGTTTTATTTGGATGAAATTATGAAAAGTTATAAAAATTTAAAGTTAACCAAAAGTACTATAATCCCTGGTTGTAACCACTGTGTAAGGTCACGAAAGCGTAGCATCAAACTCTGTAAAACTAAGGAAATTAAACGTAACATACCAATTTTTCTTGAAAAACTTGAATCCTTCATGAACCACGAATTAAGTAAAATTGAATTCGAACCGTGTTCGTCCGATTGTATGTGTTTGTCACATGAACAAGAATATTTGGATGCCCAGTTGAAAGTATACAGGTATAAAAATAAATACATTCTTAACCTAAAGAACGCCTTACTTAGAAAATTTGTTTAGGAGTAAACGGTGAAAAATATTCATTGATGGTACCTCTAATGTGCTTACGAACAGGTCGGCTTTTCACGTGATTTTGACAAAAATCACCACTTTTAAACCAATATTAAGCAAAATAAAACATGTGTACGACAGATGTCTTCAAGTAAGAGCCAACAGACTTACATTAATGGAACACGTGAGCAACAATTTGGAAAATTACAAGAAGAACGTTGAAGAGCGTCTTGAGCGAATCAAAAAAGAAAACGTAACAGAAATGAATAACTTGACGAAAAAAAATGTCGAGTTAACAAATAAAATTAACGAATTAGAAGCAGAAAATACAGCTAAAGATAAAACTATCACGTTGCTCAAGGATGAAATGTTGATGGCCCAAAAAGATGAATTTTTACGGCAACAGCAAAAACCAGAGTTGAATGAGAAGTCTGTGGAGAATAAAGGTAGTACTATGTTAACATTAATAAAACAATTTTAAGGTTTAATGCATTAATAAAAGTCCTCTGATGAATATCATGAAACGTCAAATGACTTTCAAGGCGAAACAGTGGCTGCGGGTAGTGAAGAAACCGAAGACCCCGTTCTTCTTCGTGTTTGCTTGAACAGAACAAGAAAAGACCTTAGTACAGCGCACAGAAAAATTACTGAACTCGAAGAGACTTACAGAGATGTCGTACCTAAACGAGAACTCGAGAAGCTGGATAATCTCCATCAAGTTTCGAAACGCGAACAAGAAGCTTTAATTGACGAAATAAAGTCCCTAAATCGAGAGTACACTCTAGTCAAATGTAAGTTAAATGTTTAAACGAAAGAGCATATACTGTATAATAAATACGTTATACGAACATGTTTTTCGTATGATGGCCACTTGTTTTCACATTCCCAGCTGCTCTTGAAACTGTCAAAGAGCAGAAAAACAGTCTGAGAGATCGGTGCAAGACGTTGGCGCATACAAACACCCCGAGACCGGATTGGTCCAAGTGAGTCAAACTGTCTTTTCAGAAAGCATTCAGTTTAAAAATATTCATAATACTGTACTTTCAGCATTCGTTATTATTCATTGCGCATTTTCATACAATAAAACCAGATGACGATTGTAATTTTTAATACCATTCAGGTGCGGCCAATTCATACAAGGAGGTGTGCAACGCTGGCGTGACATAACCGCCAAAAAATCAAGCGAGGAACGTCTGACGATTTTGCTATCAGAACTGTGCGGTGCTGCTAGTGCTGAGAATGATTTCTTTGTCGGTCAAGGTACCGATCAGTCGGTTCCAGTGTTCCTGCGATACAAGGGTAAAGTCAAAAATCGAAAATTGGGCCGGCGTGAAGTTAGTATCTTGATAAATGATATTTGGAAGAATAAAGTTGTCGCTGATCTAAATACTCCAATGGGCGAGTACATTCTTAAATACTTTACCGAGAGATATCATCTTCCTATAATGAGATACGAATGGATTTACAATTTGTACAATGCGTGCCAACGACTCATGTACGATGCTCAGATTGGATTATTTTGGGGTGTTCTGTGGGGAGACGTCGCCGAAGATGTTTATCACGTGGCCAGAAAGGATTTTGCTGTTCTGAAGAAGATGATGGAAATGCGGATGGAAGATAAAAAAATTGTTAAGTAAAAATTACGTTAGCTCCAATTCTTCGTCATTGAACTGAACTTGACATTTTCAGAATGCTCTGTTAGCTGAAGACATTATGGAAATTGTTGCGAGAATGTATCCTTATAAGAAAAATCAAGATATTGAGAATTTCGTCTATGCTGCGGCTAAGCAATTGGGAATAGATCCTTCGACAGAAGCATTTGATATTGCGAAATTATTCACTCCGGTAAAATAAACAATATTTTATTCTATAAATCAAGTATTAAATTCGTGTAGTAATCAGAGAGATACGAAACATAAAATATGAATACAATATATTCCTGTTAATACTGATTATCAACCGACAGAATGAAGAAGGATGGGAACGCGGTGACTTCGGTCGGGAATTTGCAAAACAAATGGTTCAAGAGATTACAGAATTTGGTAAAAGTATACTAAACAAAATAGATGTGCAAGATAAAAATGCTATGATTAGAATGGACGTTCTTAAGCGAGGATTTTTGGCAGAAGATGAAGGAATACGTGCGTGAGCCATGACGTCTTCTTAACCGCTTCTGACAGGCAAAAAAAGAAATACATGTTCTTCCCCAATTTTAGCCCAAGCACTTCTGGCCCAACACCTAAAATGGATTTATAAAACGGCGGATTTATCAAAAACCAAACCGATATCTGCCAATGTGGTCATGCAGCGCATGATTTCTGGATACATTAGAAGATACCATCCAAAAAGTGCAGACAAAACAGAATCTTGAGTAACCTGCAATGCAAGCCAAGTGTGTTTCAACATAATACATATTCAATTGTCAAGAAATCAATGTACAAAGTATTCTTATTCACATGTCAAAGGAATTGTGAAAGAAATTGACGCCATTATTTTCATTTAAAAATATTTTATATACACAATAAATTTTCGCTTCTTAATCGACGTCGAATAAAGAAACGCAAAATAATGATTGTTGATTTTTTTTCATTTTAACCGCCTCTGCCCAGTTCTTCTCTTTCTCAACATATCCATCTCAGTTAACTGTTCGAATCTATTTGTAATTAAATTGTCTTAAATCAATTGCAACCTAAAATACATTACGCCCTTTCTGTCGCTGCTTAAGAATATTACATTGTTAATTGTAAATTCTCATCGTGTCCGCACATTGATAACTCACATGTGCTGTTGGTCAAGATAGGTCAATATTGAACGCAAAATATGTTGCCCGTCGAAATAACATTTACTTATTCAAGAAACATATGTCTTTGAACAATGAGACTCTTAAAGGAGCATCATATCTGAATGCGCAAGAGATTATTTGCATTTTCATTTTCAGTAGTAACAGATAATATTATCCTTGACCTGCGAGAAAATATACGATACTATTTCTATACACAATTTTCTGTCGTATCAAGTACTATACATAAGTTAGCGTCTGTGTATATAATGAAAAGGAACATAGGAACTACCAGTTTCACAACAAAGTAGACCGTTGATCAGTTTTCTTTAACTAAAAAGTGTTTCAGTTAATTATATGCATAACAGGTTGTTATAAATCGGTAATATATGCATATAAACAATCTAAAACGTCAAAAGAATCATTCACAAAGTCATATGGCAATTCTTGCTTTCACTTTTCACTATCACTAAGAATCAACTTGTCGGAATCGTTTACAACTTCGATTTAGCATCCTGATGGAAACATTCATTATTTCAATTATAAGATATAGTCAATCGTTATACTAAATCGAAGTTGTAGGGTTATCAGTAGAAAACTACAAAGTACAACGTTTCTGATAGCAATTGAACCGCTGCGTTCAATTTCCATCATTGTAACTTAACGTTATTCCCTACTAGTAAATAATTATCAACGAAAAGCAAGATATTTCTCATGTTAACAGGTCTTTCTATACAGTAAATATTAAGTTCTTAACATGACAAATTTTTATTTGCGTTTACGTTCAATAGTGGCTCTCTTACTATTTCCTAGTACTGCACCCTTGCATGAATATCACGAATAGATCGCGATAGTGACGCTTACAAATTTGTTTTTAAATTTACATTTTATCGGTCTCATACACCATAAGACTAATTTAATATTTATGTTAAACTAGTGAATAATGACATCAATCAATCAGTTACTTTATACACTGTGACAGTACAATAAACATTTCCATCTTCTTAATTATAATTTCACAAAACGGCCTGGAATTTCGGCAGTCTTATGTAAAAATATAATTTGTAGATATTGACTTACTTTACGGTTTGCAAAAGAATTAAATAGATTTGTCTACTTTGTGTACCTGTTGTTCAGATAATATTCATACAAAGGTGCGTGTTATCCATTGTCATTATACTTTGTCTGCTCAAAAGATCTCCCGTATTTTGATTTCTGTATATTGCTTATGCAATAATGCTATCAAGATGAAAACTTTGAAATATTATGTTCGATACAATGTATCAAACTATTGTCATCTATGAAACACTTCGATTCTATCCAAAACGAATCTTGCTTTCACTGTATCTGAAGTTAACTTTTGACAAGATTAAATTTTTTTTCAGAGATATAACCAACGTGAGATCTGTGCAAAAAAGTATACGACTCCCGTTATTACTGTTTTTTTTTGTATTAGAATTCTTTTTGTTAAGTTGATGACAGTCACACTGAAGTAAAAATAATGGATGAAGTACAATCTGTGAATGATAAGTGTATTCGTGAAACCTTGTAACACATGTAGGAAATACCTTGTGTGTGATAGTATTACAAGACATTTTTTAAAATATTTGTGTATGCATGTGTATGTACGAAGAAATTAACCAATATTATTCGTATAGAAGCAATAATGGCTTGAAACTGTGTACACAAAAGTAATTTATTTCATTTACTCTCATCGATATTTTGAACATTCGGTATTTGAATTATAAGACATTTATCCCCAAAAGCCACAGATTATTTTACTATTCTAATATTGGCTGCTGGTTTGGCAACATTAAGAGAAATTATTCTAAACCTTTAATTTTACAAATTAATCTATGTTCAGGAATCAAGTTTCTTTCTGTCAATTGAATTTTAGAAAATGATCAAGAATTTACTCGTGCTATTAAGAAGGTCATATTTCACTTAAAATATTGCATATCATTTGCAAATGGGTGTACGCATAATAAAAGAAAACAAAGGGTATCTAGAGTTTTAGTTTTTAGTACATGATGAAGCAGTTTAGTTCGAATGTAACGTTTTTAAATATTAACTACAAATGCAGAATAATAATAGACCAAAATTAGATTCTGATAAGATATTATGTTGTTAATAGTTAAAGATTATTTATATTGTTATTTTCCCCTTAGTGAAGACAATAATTATTTTACGGTATTATTCGTATACTTGAGTTGAAAATGATGTAATAATAACGCCCGAACAACAAATATAATAAATAAAAATGTCACAACTGTTAATCATCGAACCCATATGACCTTTCATTTTTTTACAAAGATATGACACATTTGGCAATATGAACGTTTCCAGTAATAATAATTACTAGAAATGATGAGTAATCTAATAAAATTAAAAAAAACAAAGATGCAATGATCAAGTTCAATGGCCAGATTAAGACAAAATTAACAGCTATCGTTTGAGAACCGTAATACAATCAATGGCTTTCGGCAGAAGCACAGTAATTCTTATTACGCGATGTGGATGGGACATGAATAATGGTTACACTAAACGATCAGTATATATACATTAGATTTACAGGATATGTTACAGTCTTTTCTTTGGTAACGAACCGAAAGCTGATATAACAGTTGCTTTTGTGCCAGTAGCAGATGAAGTTAACGTCGTTAACGTTGGTTGGGACAATAAAACAGTGGGCTTAACACATGACGTTGTGCCAGTTGCAACTTGGTCCCACTTACTTTTCCTCTTTTTCGCATCATCCTCCGCTGTCGCTGATGAGCTGTTCGGCCGCTTCGCAGTACCCGAGACTATTTGGATTTTCGTCTTTTCCTTCCTCGCCTTTTCCAATTTATCCATCTCGGCTTTTTGTACCATAGCAAGCTCCTCGTAGTACGAATCCTTTCCCCACTTGAATGGATCGAAACGGTCCGGTGGATAATTGGTACCCAATTCGTTGATGCTACAAAACTGAATCAACTTTTCGTAAATGGAAGGATTTCGAAAGTCTTTTCTCTGTTGTATGACTTTGTTCATATCCAAACCGCCAGTTTCCATTTTCCTAAAGAGCTTTGCAATTTTCTCCTGTAATTCGGGAGGGCATTGCCCTGGAGGCTCGGGCGGTATCATCACGCCATAGGAGTCCGCCTCTCCATCTGAAAGTAACTCTCCTTGACGTGAGGGCGACTGCTCGGTAACCGAAGGGCCAGTACCATTCTCGGAAATCTGGCCCTCGACCATTACCGGTACAGCTCCCTCGTCGTCGGAGACTATTGTGTCATCGAAATATGAAACCAATCTCTGCACCTTCGACGTCACGTCCGTCACTAAGGTGGGCGCATTTGGCAAGTTGCTATTAAACTTGCCACCAACACTGGAGGCAACGTTGGGGCTATTTGAGGCTGATCGGCCAGATTTGGGGCTGGTGAGAGCCTGAGGTTGACCGACTTGGGCATTTTGCGGGGCGGCCCCCTGGGGAGTGTTCGAATTCTCCTGAAGGTCGTCTTCCACCCCGTCCTCGCCCTCCGAGTCGGTATAGGTGGCCGTGAGAGATGCCAGAGCAACACTTTGTACAGACATTGTTAGTTGGCTTTGAGTGTCCGCCGTGCTACCAAGCAATATTTTGTGTTGGAACTCACCGGTGTGGCGTCGGCTTGTCGCAGGGCTTAAATGCGAGTGCGAGTTGAGCAATTGTGATTAAATGTGCCTCGACACTCGCTGGAATGTTAATTCTATCTATATATCTGCAACAAAAATCAAATATGAATTAACTGTATGTTTGATCAAAAATTATACACATCAAATATAGACTAAGATTAAATTCATATAATTGATATAGGATATAAGTTTGATACCTAAACATATACGTGATAAAAATTAGTCCAATATACACATTTGTTTACAGAACATGGTCGGACAAAGTAACTGTCATACTCTTTGAAGCAATAATAAAAGAATTGTGAGCAATAATAATCGCACTACAATAACAACTTTGAAAAAATATTAATATATGAAATTGCATTCGCACAAACAAGGATTCATGTGAGAGACATCATTACACTTTGAAAGAGGAAAATACATGTTTTTGAATTCTTACAACACAGTAAACTGAACATTAGATAATGTGGTCTATAACGAAATTAAAGTATTGCTGACAGTGGAATATGACTAATTACACAATTGCCCAGCCATATTTTGAGATAAAGACTGTAAAATGAGTATATTGATATTAAAGTTGAGGTCCAAGTGACAACATAGGTTAAGTTAGGAAAGATTAAACATTAGAATATTCATTTTTCGACTAACCTGATTCGTACAACATACGATTTTTTTTCTTACGATTGTTACATATCTCTGCACATCGTCAGCAATATACAATATTATTTTCGTAGTGAATCAAATAAATAAAACGCTGAATATCACCAACGCACATCCCAGAAATTTCGCTTTGTTGCGATATTAGCAATGCGCACGCGCAAGGGGTTAATGTCTTGTTTTTAGATACGATTACTTGAAACATGCGAGTACTTTCTTTTACGAATTAGATTCATTGCAGAATTACAATTTGTGATTCTAAACAATTTTGTTAAAAAGCACGCAACAGTTTATGAATTATACAATTTCCCGATAACGTGTGCATCAGTGTGTATAGATGTTGCATGAAAACTGCAGCCATCTTATGTCCAGTATTCAACGCGATCAGGAATCCCCTTGTGGTACCATTCTCACAATGCGCGACACTTGCTTGACATGTTATGAATACTTAGTAAGTGTACATGTACTTAAAAATTAAATAGTTAATATTTAAAGCTCACCGGACCATCAACAATGAGTCTTGTTGCGTACGATAGTAGTGGTGACAGTTCTGATGACGAACATGTTCAAGAGAATCAAAGAGTATCTGAAAATTTAGCATACAGCACGAAAAGGGCATTGAATCTGCCTTCACCAAAGCAAGAACAAGTTGCACGTAAAAATGACGAAACTTCGGTTCCAAGTGCAGTAAATAATTTAGAAAAGGAGGGTAAATTACATTTTAACACTTTACCAAAACCCAAAACTTTCGTTCACGAGACCTCCTTTGAAATTGAGGATGATTATATTCCAATGAAAAAAGAAATAGAACTGACATGTGAAAAGCCAATCAAGAAAAGTAGAGCACCAGTGAAAATAACTGTGCCTTCTTTATCTGAGGTTTGTATATATAACATATATTTACTTTGATTGTAATACAATCTAATGACAATTGCATTATTTTTGTATTTGTATTTCAGTTCAAAGATGTGGATGAGGAGACTGAGAAAAAGCAGAATACAATTAAAGCATCCGAGGTAATTATTTCAAAGGTACCAATTGATTACTGTGACTAATTGTTTTTTATTTTGACAACCATTATATTTATTTTTAGAAAGGAACTGGTCTTTTTTCCATTCTTCCACCTCCAAAGGGAATTACAGGAAAGAAGTCTAAAAATTTTGTTCCATATATTCTTACTCAGAAACCAGTTCAAAAATCCTTGGAAACACAATCAAAGCATCCACAAAAAAGTAATTTGACCCAAGATAGAATACAAAACACAGATAAGAAGACAAATGCTTTAGGCAGTTTATCATATGATTCGAATTCTGATGACGAAGATGACACTGGTGTAAATAGTTCAAAAGATACCAAAAAAATTGACTTTTTTTCATTGTCAGAGACAAATAAACCAATAGACAATATGTCTAAAAATATTGTCTCGTTATCAGATACCATCAGTACAAATATTAATACAGATAACAAAAATGAGCAAAAGCAGGTAGATAATGATATAATTGTATCGCATGATTATAATCTTGAGAATGAGGATTCAGACAAAACGTTAGTGAGTAACGTAATTAATTTACCTAAGGACGAAATATTGTTAAAAAATAAAGCTGAGGTTGGCCCAAAATTACCAGTGCCTGAACAAGAATATCATGTAGACTCAGAAGGTAATGTGGCATTTGATGAGAAGGCAATTGAATACCTTTGTGGTAAAAGAGGAGTAAAGCGCAAAAATAAGGAAGTAGATGGTGTAAACATAATAGAAATAAATGGGGAAGATATCAAGCCTGACGAACGAGAATGGTTAGTTAAAGCCTTAACGGAAGAGGGTTCACAAAGACCAGTATCAATGCAAAGTGCTGGTCCAAGTACTCAGTCAAAGAAAAAACATCAAATTACATACTTAGCTCATCAAGCTAAAGCTATGGAAGTTGAACTCAAGAATCAATGGGCACAAAATAGGATGACTAGAAAACAGACGCAATCCAAATACGGATTTTAAGACAATGTTTTAGAATAAAAAAACATTTTATCTTTCTGAAACTTATGAACATGTAATATAGTTGTAATAAGTGTCAGATTTTAGTTGTACCTGTATAGATCTTTTGATAATTCAAAATTTGTTGTGTAGTAATAAAGATGTTTTGGTGAAATACTATGTTTAAAATTTTATAATGCAAACTCTGGGAATAAACTGATTTTTTTATTGAAAATATAAATTCATTGATACAGGAACCATCTATGTACAACATAATATTAATTGTAATTACTTTCTTCAGAAACCATTAAACAAATGTTTTCATACTCTTTTTGCTTAGCAGCAACCAATGCCTTTGCTTGTAATAAATTTGGAGGGACATTTCCATATTGTTTGAGAAATTGATTCACTTCTGCTAATTCTCCTTGTACTTCCAAAAATTTTTTAGATTTTTTTCTTATTGTATCTGGATCCAAATCTGCTACATCCATACTATCCAATTCGGCTATTAATTTATCAAGTGCTTCCTTATATTCATTTAGTTTTGTGTTCATTAATATTTCATTGGTATAGTGGTTTTCACTATCAGCCTCATATTTTTCAGTAATATCTTTAACAGAGACCACAGCATCTTGAACAGTGGTCAACTTTTTTTCTAAGTTTTTATATCTATCAAATAACATGTTGTACTTTACTTTTAACTGTTTATCCTTAAGTCGGTTTTTTCTCTCTTGAATCCTTCTTTGTTCTCTGCATATCATCAAAGCTGTTTCATCCACTTCAGCTAATCCTTCTGATTTCAAAATTAATGAGACATTTTGCAGGCCTTCTTTAATATCAATGGGAAGATAATTAATCTCGAGTTTCAGTTCTTTCAATAAAGTAATAATTTCGGCACTAAGTGCATTATTTTCTGCAATCGTTTCAGAAATTCCCTCTTTTAGTAAATGCAGTTTTTCGAGATCTTGAATATCGGTTTTTTGCGTTTGATAATCTGATGGCACGTTCGATGCACATACAGAACCCTGAACAGAATTTATGAAAATGCTAAGTACTCCCACAAACATGAAACATTTTTGTATACATTTAAGATAAAACTCTTACCTCTGTTTTATATTCCATTTTACTAATATGTATTTGATTAATCTTACGCTTATTGGTTACTTCTGAACTGAAGTGCAAAAGAGCAAATAAATATCGCCTCTCGCTCGATTATCATTCTAACCGAAACAGAATTCAAATATATTTTACGTCATGAAGAATATACATACGTTGCAAAGTATAAAGCCTCATGCATTCGGCGAGAAATAGAAAAAAAGTATGTCGATTTTCATACAATAAATTGCTGCTAAATTATTTGATACACATTACATCGCCCTCATAATGCAGCATACTTATTAACTGTATTATTTTTTAGCTCTTCGTCTTCGCAAAAGTGTATAATACTTAGTACAGAAATATACTTATGATACAACATAAAAACGCGGCTAAAGCTTTCCAGATCCTATGCTTAAATTCCAGTAACGACGACGGCCATTGTACGCGCACGACGCTGTTTCTCGAATACGCATCGGCAATACATTTTCGTTCTAATTTCTATTAACTTTTTTGACAAGTCCGCGAAAAACAAATCTTTTCACCTGTATCATACTACAGCTGCATCTAAAGCAATATTAAAATTTGTTCATTGTCTAATAAATGGTCCCGTATACAGCATTGCATGCAAATCATTTCTAGTGTTTCGACAGTGAGTGTATTTCACCCCGTGCCTTAACTTGACTTGAGTAAAAATAATACTGTGAAGACAGTGTGAAAATGAGCGACGAACAAATAAACGAAGCGACTCAAATTGTGGAGGTACGAATGTTTTTAACAGATTTTCTTTGATTCAATTCCTTGGAGTCGTAACTTCTTTTAGTATTGTCGGTAGAAAGTCGATCATACCAGTGTCAAGAGTTATTAATTGTATGCCACCGAATAGCATCACTTACAACAATACCTTGTTGGTGTTTGTTGGAAACAAGACATTAGCATATAGATTTTTCATTTATTAAATAACTTTTGTTACCAGTAAAAAAAAATTGTAAATTATGTTGCATGGTGCCTGAACAAGAATTAGTTGTAAATGCTTATACTATTTTATTAAGTTCTCAAGAAATTATTACATATTTGTAGGATATGATCTAGTATCACGTTGTATAATGTGTTAATACAAAATTATATCATTATTGTAGTTATCCTCAAATGATATTGAGAAACTGGAGGAAGCAAAACTAAAAGCAAAGTTTCCAAATGCTGGAGGACGACCAATTAGTGGCCACTCAGCATTTCTTCAAAAGAGACTTGCCAAAGGGGTGAGCAAACAATAATTTATATTTTCCTGATAAAAGCAAAATGCATTGCTTCTGTCCATGAATAACAGCTTAAATAATTGTTTTACTTATTGACATATAAGATGTGAAAGTTCTATAAGCATTATATACAACCAAATATTTTCAGCAAAAATATTTTGACTCTGGCGATTATCAAATGGCAAAGCAAAAATCAACAGCAAAACCGAAGCCAACTGGAGTATTGCCAACAGGTGATGCTATTCCAACTCCAGAAACTGTACCACAGCGTAAAACTTCTATCATTCAACAAAAGTTCAACACGTCTACTAGCTCGTAAGGCACTATTATATTTGTGATCCTTCAAGTTACAATTTGTCTAGTGTAAAGAACATAGCCATTATTGCGATGCCTTGGTACAATAATGTGCTAACAGTAACATTTAGAATGTTTGTAATACTTTGCAGTGTCATACAAGAATTATTATTATTTCATACGAAGCTAGTAACATGTTAGCAAGTGATTTTTGATGAAAACGTTGAGTTTACTTTGTTCTTACTCACAACATTAAATTTATATTTTTCTCCATTTACCCAAAGTTTACCTTTTCCTTTTGAATGTTCTTAGTTTGATAACATCATTTAATATTTCAATTGTTAAGAACACTGTATAGCAAAACGTGTTAACACTGATAAACACAGAGGTACTAATCAGTTTAATACATTATCGCGTGATAGAAAAATTATCAATGTGATCTAAAGGGACTCCAGTTTGCATATGAAAATAAGGTTTAGTCATGATCATGTGGCATCGTGAATCAATATTAGTTCTTTATGCTGAGCTAACTTGTAATTGAATTTTATCGGGAATGTCTAAGAAGGTGCATAAAAGACGAATAAGCCATATTTTTCATAGGTCCTACACACTAATATTTAAAATAATATAATTCTAAATAAGTAAGCAAACTTGGGATATAGTTAAAAGTCAAAATTATACTGATTGTTTGCTGTATACACATTCAATAGAAAGTCAAGGGAGATTGGAGGAGAGTGTATAGATCTGCATTTTGAAAAATTACTGTGATGTGCTTAGTAAGATTATTCTCCTATACAAATCCCACATGAATACTGTGAAAAATCTGTAAAATATCTAAAACATGTAGCAATTCTAAATGTAGCTACAGTTTTCGGTTATTGTAAACTATAAGCCACTAGTAATATATTACAATTCAAAGTAACTGACACTTATTTTGTCACCATTTTGTTTCCGTTTTTTGTAAAGAAACGGTCCAAAAATATTTTTAAAAAATTAAGTTAGTATTTATTACGATTATTTAGTAGATCAGAACAGAATGTTTCAGACAGATCGATCTTTTACAATTGTGGATCTAACATTACATCCTAATACGTATTAAGGTGTCTTTCAAGACACCGTAAGGAGCATGGCTAAAAAATAATACAGCTTAGGTCAACAATAAAATTTCATTATGAACATGTGCCGTATATACAATTTTTTTCGCCACTAAGATCACAGCATCACTCGTCACTGAGGTGATAACTGCATTCCTATTGACTTACAATATTAATAATTTACAATTCGTTATTGTCAGGTAAGTACCTACTTTAATCATAAACGGGTAATTATATCTTGCGATAATTTATACCATTAATTCTAATAGTACCCCTCTTCTTATGATGCACTACCTATTCCACTAAGATGATGATTCAAATTTTATAATTGCAATTTACATTTGAGAATCAATACGTATATAAATAATTATATAACACGCGTACAATATTAACAACCCTATAGAACCGCTATGACACCCATAGATAACTCATGATACAATAATCTCAGTGTTTCAAGACAAAAAAGTCTAAGAACCGCTAATAGTATAAATTAGAATGGTGTTCCTATTATATACCCTAACTTATTCCCTGGAAACTAATTTAATTCTATAATATTCGTCATTGTCCAGGTGAAATTTGGTTTTCCTGTATAATAAAAATTTGAATTTTATGTTATCTCTGAATTCAAAAGATATTGTGACTTGCAATCGTGTAAAAATGAATGCTTCCTTTTATAATATTAGGTTCCAACGATACGCAATTTCCTACACTCCACAAATTATTTAAATTGAATTTAATAAAAGCACTTGATTGTACTGTCGCTTTCCTCGATTCATAAACGATTAAATGCCGGCCAAATACATAATACTTCACAATTGGACCCAATCAGACTGATTACCAATGTATATTATATCGTGGACGACGTAACGTTATATATAAATATAACTAATTTAGCACGTCACGCAATAAATAATAAATACGAGCGATTATGCAATTACTTTATTAGGGATTCATTAGAATTGAATGAATTTATTACTTATTTACTTACGACGGTATCGTTTCTTTTTATTTGCTAGAAAGGCACTCTTTTCGTAGGATTAGCCGCGTGTATAAATTTCTTTTTTTCTGTTTTTGACTCTGTAACAGTTTTTTGACAGTTAAATACCCCGTACAAATTTACAAGCAAAATAGGATGCTTTTAAAAATTTGCTACCTCATTATTGTGGACACAAGGTTCACGTAAAAGTTATATACAAATTCGAAAAAAATGGATTTCTGTAGAACCAAATACAGAAGGCTTTCGCAAAGTGTACTGGCCACATTCGTTGTACATACATTTCCTCATATTACATATTATTTACATCAAACAAGCCAGTAAAAAATACTTGGCAATAATATTCTTCCTCAGAGCACATTGGCATTTCTTCTAAAAGTGAAGACCGTATAACACGTCAGAATGTTCATGATAATACACTGCATTGAAATATAATATTAGACAATTTGCCACACGTCGTTGGTAGAGCGTTATTTAGAATGAGAAAAGCACACTTCAATTACTGCGTATATTTATCAAAGTACGAAATGCGATAAGCGTTTATCATACGGGTATCTCACTTCGGTTTAATGAAGTTTTTTTTGTTATTTAATTCTTATGCAACGTCTTATTCGTTAATTGACGTAGTTTAAAACACCTACACACTTTTCAATGGTTAACCGTGTTACCTCGTACATATAACTTATTATAAAGCAATATGTTTATTTTAATGTTCCTTATTACCGTTTGAAAACATTTTGACAATAATATCACAAACATTAGTATATTAAAACTTGCGAAGTAACAATCAAGTTATTGACGGAATCCTTAAGTGGTGTCATTCTTCAATTGACAGAAGCGATAAAGGGTGAGTCAGAAAGAAAGACTTGCAAGTAATTTTCCTTTCGTTTATGATCCTAATGTAAAGTCAGTATCCAGCATTCTTCTTCCTATTACGTTTCTATGCATCGGGTTACTTGTACATTTCATCGATCAGATCTGCGTACATTTTATGTACAGCATTCCTCCTAATCTTTAATGTTGGTCCCAATTCTCCCGTTGGAACAGAGAAGTCATGCGGCAGAATTCGAAATTTTTGCACTTTTTGAGCATTACTTATTGCACGCGTGTTCACCCTTTCAATAGCTTCCTCAATACCCTTGTAAATCTGAAAGAAGTAATAGTCTGGATAGATCTACTTAAAATTTTTCGTACGCGACAAGCATATTCTACGGTCTTGTAAAGGGTGATGTGCAGAGTTTGTGGCAATATGCTGTTTCACAGGACGCAAAAAACGAAAGTCTATTCTATTTCAGTTTGTACGAATAGGAAAAAAAGTTTTCAAAAACTAGTATACTAATTTGAAACTCAAGAAAAATATTGCAAATAAGTATTTTGCGATATGTACTTACCAGGGGATCCTGCGTTTCCAATATTTCTGATACCGTCTTCGCTTTACTACCGATCGATTTTACCCATGCTCTCGCTTCTGGAACCAAAGTGTCCAAAGGTTCCCCGGTATTAGCATTGACATCGGTCTAGAAAAAAAGATGCCAAAAGTGTCAGATACTAATAAATTGCTATAAAAGTTTGTGAATTTCTAAAATAATTTACAACGCACCTTGAACGTGACTAGAATGGTTAAGAATTTTCTTAAATCGCCTATCAACATAGCATTGCTAAGAGCTGGCAATTCAGCCAGCAACATGTGTTCTATATGGACAGGTGGAATGTTTTCCCCGCCAGCCGTGATAATAAGTTCTTTTATTCTTCCTGCAATAATATAAGCATTATTGTCTCGCATCCAAAGCGTATCGAAAGAGATAAGCAAATCAAATGTCTATGGCGTTGAGATGAACAATAATATCAGTGTACGAAACTCTACATAATATAATATATTTTATATACCTGTAACATACATAAAACCCTCAGAGTCTATCCTGCCCAAATCGCCACTGTGCAACCAGCCCTCGTCATCCTTAGCTTCCTTAGTTTTTTCCGGCGCATTCAAATAACCCATGAAAACATGTCGACCTTTCATACAGATTTCACCCTCTCCAGAATTATCTGGATTGTCCAATTTTGTTTGCAACCCCTTCATAACTACACCAACACCGTCCAGTCTAGAAATAAAATTATATTCATTTGACCGTTGATTAACATAAAGTTGAATGCCATAAGTCAATCAAATAAGTTACCGATAATGGTTTATGGTGGTGAAACTGTGGGCCCCAGCACATTCGGACATACCATACGCATCAATAATCGGCATATCTAAGCTCAAGAAGTATTTTTTGATTTCTGTACTTAGAGGTGCAGCTGCCGTAGCAAGAATTTTACATCTGTTAAGACCAAGAGCCGCTTTCACCTTATTAAAAACCAACCACTTGGCGATGAGGTAACCCCAATGCTTATAATCAATGCCGTTTATTCGATTCATATTGTACATTAGTCCCTGGGCTTTGGCCCAGTTCGATATCCAAGTTTTTATTACTCCATTATTGCGAGCTATAACTTGCATTTTCTCGTAGATTTTTTCCCATACTCTTGGGACGCCCAAGAAGACCGTTGGACGCACGTCGAGGAGTGTTTCCAGTAGGGAGCCTTTCAGCGCGTTCCTATCTGCGAAATAAACGGTAGCTGCAAACGACATACTCAGGAATATCTCGACAACCTGTAGTGATAAATGATCCATTATCATAAGAAGCACATAGGCATTACTAACTTTTGATGAATTATCAATTGTCTTACCTGTGCCGCAACGTGAGATAGGGGCAAGTAACTCACGAGTACTTCTTTTTGTACGTCGAGATCAACTGAACTTCCGATAGCACGGGCGTCGTGCAAAAGATTGTCATGACTTAACATTACGGCTTTCGGATAACCAACTGTTCCTGACTAAAATAATATCATTTATTTAATAATATTAACTTACTAATGGCCTTGAAAAGAGTTTCCGACATCACATATCAATACATTCATAGTACTCACCGTATAAACTAATGTGCAACATTGATTCGTCGCAACAGTTTTTAGTACCGCATCTAATTTATCGTCCGACTCTCCTTTTCCTATTTCCAAGAGGTCGTTCCACTGTTATATTAAAAAAAATTGGTTTATCGTGAATATTGATTGTGCAATCGTACACTTGTTATTAAAGAGAATTTACTATGATTGCTTACACTCAGCACATCCTTATCCTTAGGCACTCCGTCGTATTGAATTATTGCCTTTAAAAGAGGTAAATTCTTCTTTATTTCTGTTATTTTTTCTAACTGTTTTGCATCTTCCACGACTATTATATTTGCTCGACTGCTTTCAGCGCAATACTGACATGCCTCTGGGGAATTGGTTGTGTAAATTCCTGCCGCAAAACCCCTACGATAAAAATAATCTTGCATTAAAGTAGATAACATTTTTTTGGTCCCAGGAAAATTAAGTCTTAATGAAATTCAACATTTTACGAATTAATAAAATTATAATGAAATCAACAAAAAGCGTCTTACCCAGCATAGATGGCAGCAAGATCTGAAATGAACCACTTAGGACTATTGAAACCCAAGATGCAGACACTGTGAAATTTTTGTAGACCCAATTTAAGAAAGGCTCTTGCAACGATTCTCACCTGCGCCTCATATTCCCTATTGAAATGAAATTTTTATGTGAAAAATGATGACACTTTCAAAAATAATCTAATGTTGTTACTGTCATATACGAACTTGTAAGTCAACGTCAATCTACTACCGTCGACTCCCGGTGTGGATACCAAAGCTGGATGATTTGGATACTCTCTAGCCGTCTTCATTAAAAGTCCGGGAACGGATATAGGCTGGAATGCGTTCGGCCCCTCCGCTTCCAGTTTAATTCGAATAGAACCATCAAGTTCCGCTGTAGTATCGACATTAGAGCGCAATACCTGGTCCGGTCCTGCAATTTCAAAAATTATTAAATTACAGTTCGAGTGACAATTTTAAAAAAGTGAATTTTTTTCTAATACTAATGTATAAAATGTGTCTCACCATCAAGACCGGTTTCACTGGACGCAGCGTATTGAAATCCATCTGTAATGGACGCCTGGAAATGAAATTATATGAATATTCTTTAAAGATAATTATCGCGATGTTATAATTGTCCTTGAATAAATAAAAATTGCTGTGAACGAGCATCACGAACTTTGATATACAAATGTACATCCGTATTGTACAATCTTGCACTTTGATACTCGAGAGCTAGTAATTTCTGATTAATGTAAACACAATATCACCGATTACGCATCGTTAATATCAGTGAAATGAAGAAAAAAGATACCATTACTTATCGTGACGACTTTTTAATCAAGAGCATTTATAGTCGAGTTGTAAAATCAATTTAATTCTAATTAAAGGGGCATCACTCCTTGTATTTTAAAGCGTAGTTTCGTAAACGATTTTACTAGTCAACGACATCTGACATCACACCAAATTTCATTCGATAAAAAGGTCAAAGACAGAGAAAAAGATATTGGTGTTTCGATTAATTCATACATCACAAATTCTAGTAGCATTTTACCATTTAACGGTCAACAGGACTTATCGGTCCCAACTACTTTGAAAAATCATATCTTCCGCAGAAATGAACATATCGCCATCTTTCTTCCTAATTTTAAAGAGGATGGATGTATTTAAATACATAAAATTTAACGAATATAAGAATTAATTTCTGAATTCAATACCATCAAATTAATCATAATGACGGCATACCTTTTCCGTTGGTACAAATCCATTGGTATGACCATTGGACAATAGGGGCTGTTCCAAAGACATGATATCTGAAAAAGGTAAAGATGACATTATTTTTAGAATGTCTCATCAAATCTGAAAATCGTTAAATACGTGAAAGACTAGAGACAATATGGATACAAAGTATGACAATGACTTTTGGGAACGTAACAAAAATAAAGTTTCGTGCCATAAATGTGAAAAGTGAATTTTTGATACTTGGTTTAACTTTAATGTCGAGTGAAGTCAAACCTCGAGACTAAGAATGTCGCATGAGGCCTCCTAATTTAATTTTACTACGTTTCAAGTTTGTCGGCATCTATGGACTTTTATTAAAAACCTTCGAGCGGCCGTGATTTAGAATTTCATCAACACCATGTATACTTTTTTTTGTAATGTAAGAGAGTTGCGATCAAAAGTCCATTAGATAATTATTCAACATTGTATACTGTAACAAATTATTGAGCAGAAATATATTACGAATCCTGTTTTTATTTATCTTTTTAAATCATGTCGTCAGGTCACGACAATTTACAACAATGACACTTATAACTTTCAATTCGCGAGAGTACGTAAAACGACTTTGACAGTTGCTTTTCGCTCAAATGTACCGCTTAACGTGTTTTATATTATGAACAACACCGTGAATATCAATTATACAGCGACATATCGATAATAATGAGAAAAAAATCATCAAAAATTTATATACAAGACTGGACGAACGTTTAACGACTGGCGTAACGATCGTGATAGGAGGTCAAATTACAGTCCTAGATATTCGCATTCATAATATAAAAATTACGTAATACTGAGAAAAAAATCATCCAAAATTTATATACAAGACTGTAGGAACGTTTAACTCCTGGCGTAACGATCGTGATAGGAGGTCATAGTACGCTCCTAGATATTCGCATTCATAATATAAAAATTACGTAAACAACGAAACTACGTAACCAATACATTATCTTTAAATGATTTGCAAACGTCCATCGCCATAGCACACCGGACGAGAGACTGTTTTTCTTGAATGACATTCGGGTGTTACCTGGACTTTGGTTTGAAAAAGAGAGAAGTGTCAGCACAGCATCAACTATTTCATATACCACGTCTTTATCGTCTCTCAATAAACTATTCTATTTCACGTTAAATTGATGTCACGTCTTATGTATAGAATATTTGCATACACCACGACAATAGCTTACGTAAATAGATTAGCAGTATATCAAAAGCACGAATCTAGCCGAAATGAAAAATTCTGTAGTTGCTTTTGACACTTTCCACGAGATATTTGCGAGATTCAAAATCGTGGATATTTCAGTAACGAAGTAAACGACACTAGTGCAACTTTACTTTAAACATCCTTGCGTTTTCTTCCTTGTTAATATTATACACTATATGTCAAACATTTTTTCCTGACGTTCCTAAGGCTTCCATGACACAAGCGCGGCGGCGAGAGCCTCACATTTCCGTTAGTGTAACGATCATAACAGAAATTTCTTCCGAATACAACAAACAACCCTTTGATCATAGTTACGTGTAAAAAGTCAAATTTACTATGGTTATACTATCAAAAAATACCTTTGCAAAGTAGAATAACCATTGTTTGACCGTTCACGATTTACTCGCGTGACAGACTGGCCCGAGCCACAGAAAATCAATACAGAAGGCATCACCCCATCGCGCGGCGGTAAATTCGAGTTGCGCCCTTAACGACAACACGCCCCTTGCTGCAATTCAAGGTGCAACAGCAATGCCTCTGTTCCATATAGGATTGTCGCGATGATACTCACGTCTTATATGATTGAATTTTAAATAGTAATAAACACGTCTTCAGCAGCAAAAAACGCTATGAATACTCATTGAAGAATCAGTATATAAACACACTTTTTATGGACTTTGATTCTCTTTAAGTAGGAAACTCCTGATGACGACAAATGCTTCGAAGTTCGGAAACTAATGTTTAGTTGTTTCCGCGCTACTTTTATATGCATATTGCTACAAGAAAAAAAAATATATACATGTGCACTATGTCTAAGCGACAACGTATTTTGCTTCTCTATGTATTACAATGAAATATAATAATTACGTACCGATTCACAATATCATCAACGATAACCCATGTTGCATAAAACGATCTTGAATAACATGCAATTTGGAAAACTCATGTTTTTGTATTACTTTGCGCTTAGGGTCAAACACGCAATATGTCTTAGACGTTGCTGTCAGCACACGGACGCATAATTATTGTCGTGATAAATCTTGACATGAACGTTTGTTGCATAAGAAAATGATAATCTGCATGAATAAAATGATAAGCATTACTTGCTTTAAACAATAATGTTACTTGTCAATTGTTTTTTGTGAAAACTAACTGGCACTGACGCGAGAATTGAGAAGGAAGGAGAATAGTGGTAGCACTGTATGTCGTGTTTGCTAAAATAATATAACAGAAATCACAGATATCGTAACGTAACCAAATGAATGAGTGAATCGTTCCGACGATGTCCGGCAAATCGGTGAATTCAGCGTTAAATCAAAGAAGTCGGTCAAGGAATAGCTTTCTATAGTTTCAGCGAAGCGTACTGGCATAAATGCCTAGTAATGTTTTCGAAGCCGGTACGATATCTTATGGCGGCAGTATGCGTCTAGGTTAAGGGCAAGGACTTGCACGCGTTCTGGCTTCGCTCAATGATCGATATTGTGGGTAATCGATTCTGCAACGCGAAACTCGATCCTGGTTAAATATTAAATGTTCATGGTCGTCGACGTGTACCTTGCGGGAGTCGAAGGAAGACGAGCGTAAGGATTGATTGAAATATAATTTTTCGTAATTTCTTTTGGCAGAAGAAAGTTATACAATCGAGTCTTCAGGTCAGAATCTTCCAGAACTATACTCGTCTGATTCGTGTTAGTGGAACGTTCTCTATAGAATCCGTAAAAAGATTTAATCCCTGCTTAGTATGAACACTGCACTTGGATATATATAGTTTTATGTCCGCACAAACTTTATGGAATTATTTATAAGAAATATTCTTGCGTTTATTGACATAAACGATTTTAATTTTCGTTTTAACGAAATTTTCTTCCCTGTCGTTATTCAATTGTGCTGCTTACCAATTTTTTCCCACTAATTATCGATCTTTTAGCGTTACCCGATTTCCGTTAATTTTTTATATATCGAAATTCCAAGAAGCACGTTCGCGTAGAAAACAGTGATATATACAGTGGCGATAGTGTATTTTCAGCTTGCATGAAAGTTCTGTTAACTTGGAGACCTGTAATAATCGCTTCGACATCCTTGCTTTTAGTGTAGAGGTGAGGTAAATTTATCTAAGCTCGCATTCATAAATTTGTACGGGTACGAAATAATATTGAAAAGAAATTTTATTTCAGGTCATTCATCATTTTTTCGTCCTACTGTACAGAGATGATGGATTATTTGAAATATCAGACGGGCTACTAGTAGACATTACTTTTAATCTTACTAATACGTGGTATAATTTTGTACAAGATAAATGATAAAAAGATTAAATAAAAAATAACAAAAAGATCAAAGACTAAGAACCAAGCACTAACAGCAAATATTTTTATCACAAACGAATAACGGGCAGTGTAAACTAAAATAATACAGAATATAATATCACGATTTCAAAGTCTGTAATTAGTATCCGCAAAGATTGGAGAATTAAGTGTTTTAATGCCGTCGTGAAACAAAAGGGCATTAACAGGTGCACACCTGTTGTAACGTCACATTAGAAATGTTATCGATGACAAGAAACACGTTACAAGTTTGTCAAACGATTTGAATTGTGCGTAATTCGCCCGCGCAACGAACAATTACAAATGCATAGGCGACAGTTGCGCTTGGCGTAATAAATCAAATTGCATTACTTTAAAGTACAATCGAGTCGGCCAGGTAATATGACAACAATGAAAATGAGGAAGAATCGAGAAAGTTCGTTGACGGTCATAGTCAATGGAAAAATGTGTAATCATCGATCACGCGACATTCAATAATTCATGAACAAGAAGTTATCGTACGATGAATTAAAAAAAGGAATTGATAAAAATCTAAGTCGTATTAAAGTAGGGTAAATTTGATTTCTGCTAAAACGAGTCTATAGCTGCTGTCAACCATTCACCGATTAATAACAAATTGTTGACTAGCGATATCTCTTAGGTACTACAATATTTAATTGAAAAATGTGTGTTTTATAGTCAGACTTACTTCGGCCGTATGTACGTGTTTCGAAAGTATAATTTTGTACTAGAGGATTTACAGTTATGTCAGTCCGGACCAGGCTAACGTTCTTCCGATACTAGCGAACGTATATACTCACGCGCTAGTCCGGAGTCACCGGCCGGAGTCACGCCATACAACCAATACTCTGTCACTCTGACATCACGTGGCCGGATTCTGGTATCAGGCAAGGAAATCAGCCAATGAAGGATTCTCCGTTGATTCTAGACTGGAAGTATTGGTTGCGAGAAAGCAGGAGGGAATATTCACCAATGGACATTTCACTATTTAAAGTCACAGATTGCAAACGCAATTCGCATGGACATATGATTTGACAGACACATCTCATTTTAGGCATTATATAGCTTATACATAATTTAGCTTTATCTTATCAGGATGCGGTTTTATTATTATGTCACGCTGATAAGATGTAGTACGAGTGGGTTCGCGCTACGTGACATTTTGAAACGTTCCGTGTGCTATTGATGTTACCGAGAGAATGCGCAAAGTACGTTACCGACTTGTATAAGAAAGTAGACAACGGCATATATTAATTTCCTATTGTTAAACCTACTTTGAGGTTAGAATACGTAAGAAACGTTAACCTTGTTCGCATATACAATTTTTTTTTAAAAACAATATAGTCAAGGTCGACGACAATTTTTCTCGATTTTAAGGAATAATCTCTTTTTATCTAAATTTATTATTAGTGGAGGGGAAACACGTTTCTGTTGCTTTATAAATACATTTTGATAATATTCTTCGAATACGGTGATATTAGACTTATCCAGAGATTACGACATTGATGAAAGGTCCTAGTAGATGATGATTTAGGGGGATGTAATCTCGCAATTTATGAGGCGCTTGATAACTGGAAGAGTAGTGGTAACTTTCGAGAACATAGTACTTTGTTAATGTGACATTATTTTATTTATATAATAAATGAATACACTTATTATCTACTTTTGATTACATGCGATACTCAGTTTAATCTTAACTCGTACGTAAATGCATATCTAGTTTGTTTTATTATTAAAAAAACGCACTTAGAAGAATGAACTTTGTACCGTTGCTATATGGAAATTGGGTGAATGCGATGGTGTAAACAGGCGATATAGATGTATATATTTTTTTTAAACATCGAGATCTTGCTGTCGGAAAAGGTTTGATATTTTGTTTTTTCAATATTCCTTTGAATGGAAACAACTTTGTAGAAATTTATGTATATAAAAGAAATACAGACAGACAGATAGTTTAAATTAATTTAATTTGTTTTTACTTGTTTTCTACTAATCATCCACGACCGAAAAACACGGCGAATAACTTATACTTCAGATGTTTGTAAAATATCCAAAAAGTTTCGCATATGCGACTTTCGGTAGTTAATAATTAGACAATTTCGTACGCTCTTGGCCGTAAAATGTATTTTACAAACCACTATTGAAGTCTAAAGTAAAAACACGCGTTATGATGGCAACACTGATTGTCGTTGTAAAACGCATGCGTGCCGTTTATCAAGTGTAAACTACATTCCATCGTTTTGTCAAGCACCCGATTGTCTGTGTACTTAAATTTTATAGTACTTTGTTTAAAGTTCGTATTTCCAGAAGAAAATGCCGGGAACGCCAATGGACCAGGACAAGAGTTCTTTGGGAAAATTACAAGTGGAACAACCGCAGAAGGATGCGGACGAGCCCGTTATGCGAGAATTGACGCAGACGGATCGATTGAACCAAAAACTATTGGTTTCATTCCTTGAAAGAATGAAGAATTCAAAGGAAGAATACGACAAGTACATGAACAAAGAGCCAGTGGATACAGATGATCAGAACAACAGTGATTTCTGAATATGAATATTAATATAAGAAACATATAAGGTTATAACGGCATCCTAAGATCGTACCAACTGTGAAGATAGAAACAATATATGTTTTATCTAACTATGATAGTATAATTGTAACACTGTTTTGTCCATTTTTATACAAAACTATATAAGAACAATATAATTCTGAACTTCAACTATTTATACGTAATATTCGTATGTTTGTAAGGCAATGTTGTGACTAGTTTCGATGTTTCCTACCCTGTTCAAAATATTGCAACTGGCGGGAAAGTCTGCCATGTTGTAAAGTGTCGAAGGAATCATATTGAATATTTTGAAGTGCTTTGAGAATGGAAATTGATATAGAAGAACGTGATCGTGAATATAATGAATCCGAGCAAATCGATGGTTATGGTTCTCTTTCTGATGGAGCTGAAGAAGAGTCAGCTAGCAAGAACGATGAAGATGAAAGTAATCATGAAACGAAACGAAGGATTGATCCAAGTGCCAAACCACGTACAGTAAGAAATCCTCAGCCCAAGTTAAATACTGAACTACTGAAAGGACCAAAAGGAGTACATACTATTGAAAAATATTTCGAAGGTTTTAAATATAATGGGAAAGGTCATGAGAAGCACGATTTAAATCGCATCATGAAACGTTTAGAGCATTGGGCACACAGACTTTATCCAAGATTACAATTTGATGATTTTCTTGAGAAGGTTGCAATCTTGGAAAAGAAGAAGGATCTTCAAGTACACGTTAAAAAATACCGACTAGATATGTTGGTTGAAAATGATGATATCATACAGGAAGAAATGGATGTGGATGATAGTGAACAGATTAACGATGCTCCAGTTGATGAATTTGATTTGTTGCTTGCAGAACAAATAGCAAAGCAAAAACAAACAGTAGTTGACGAACAAGCTACTATGGATACTAGCATGTCAAAACATAATACATCTGCATCTGGTGATCCTATATTTAATACAAGTACTGTTAGCAATACACCAAGAAAGGATGTGCTGCCATCAAAGAATTCAACATTAAGTGAGGAAATGAAGCAAAGAATAGAACGAAACAGACAACTAGCAATAGAAAGAAGATCGGCAAGAATGAAAATGAGGGTGGAGAAAACAGAAGTTGTAAATGAAAATATTTACAGTACAGAAACCACAAGCAATAACACATTACCACAAATAACTCAAGAGCATGTTATAGAAGTTGTTACTACAAATGAAATAACCATAAATTCTGATGGAAATGATACTGGTCCGTTAGAATTAATGAACAGTGAAAACAATCAAAATTGTGAGCAATCTCACATACAGAATCCTACAAATATAACGAATGAAGAAAGTACTTCAGTTCCCAATGATGTGGGTTATGACTCGCCAAAAGAAAATGAAAATGTAGAGAATAAAACAACTGATGTAATGACATCAAATAAGGTTCTAACAAGCAATGAACTAAAAATGGAAATAAATGCAGCTGTGCATGAACTAGTGAACTCGAGAAAGCAGAAAAATGAATGAAGAAAGTATTTAATAGTAGACTGCATTTTATGTATGAACGTTATTGTAATCTAAAATTACAGTTTATTTTGTATGGTTTGTAACATATACCATGTTAGGACTAAAAATAAATGATATATTTGTATGAATCATATTTATTGAAATACGACTTATATTTAAAAAATAATCAGTCAGTTCCAGAAATCCACATCACGTTCTACGTTTTTGAGTACTGATATATAGTACGTTATTACCCCTAATAAAAGCATCACCATACTTGTTTTTTAGTTGACCATTAACATATTCTTCAGTCTGCTCCAAAGCAATATTCATATAGCCATCAAGACAAGCTAGAACACCTACAACATAATTGCAAATTTATAAAAGTATATTGCTTTTACAGTAACAAAATTGTTTAAATTACCTCTATAATCAACACCACTATTAAGTTTTACCACCACCGGTCTGCCGTGAATTTGTTGAATAAACTGCGATAATGCTTCCTTTCGACTCATCTGTAAATAACAATGTAACACTAAGCTTTATTTAAATAGGTTAACTGCAACCAAATACATGTCCGCAATAAATTCTTAAATTTTGCCGTCATACACATAAAGCTCAGATGTTATTAAAATCTGGTGTAAAATGTTTAATTTATATTTAATTCTTTTTTATACCTTATTGTTTAAATATCAATCGTATAACACTTCGAGATCAAATAGAATGCACTCAGCAAGATCAACGATTTGATAGCAGACACGTGTTATTGGTCGAAAAACTTAAACTTCAAGATTCGACCAACCAGCTACGTTTGCATCTACACTTCCTCGGTTTACCTATAAAAGATCAATAATAAATACTGCACTCAACGGTTCCATAATGTATTATCATTTTGGTGAAACTGCAAGAAGTACATAAATGTGAACTAATTACAAGTTATGATCAGAAGTTCAAAAATGAGACGAGAGTATTCAGAGCTTTATGTCTTTGTTTATTGAATGCATTCGATCCAGACACAACGATATTCTTAGCGCTATCGGATCAATTTCGAACACACTTGCAACGCTCCAAAGCGCTTAAAATCACAAAAATAAATAGGCCTGTGAATGTTACTTATGTATTTCCACAAAAATGCAAGTATGAGCGTATTTAAATATCTGTATACGGAGGTCATACTTGTGCTACACAAAGATGTTTGCAACCGTTCCCTCAAAATACAGTTTGTCTATAGTTTGATTACTTCTTTACAAGTACAGAAAACACTGAGTAAAAATAATTTGTAGGATTCATGATAATTGTTTTGTTTATTATACCTTATATCCTATGACATTTTCTTGCGCAAATATAAGGAATGGTAAATACGTATTAGGAACATCTAGAAACATAATAGGAAGATAGATAATAAATTAAATGTTCTAATAGGCTACGCTACTAATATCATTTTAAATACTATTACTTAAAAGATATACAAATATATATGTATAACATATATGCACTAGATAAAGAGGCTACGATGACGATTCTTGAATTTTAGCCAGCCGTATGGACTGATTTCTGTTATCCATCGATTAAATTTAGATGCAATAACCGCGATTCAGTTGCATGATCTACTCTAAGATCCGATTCCTTCGACACAATTCATTACATGAACGCGGTTTATATTCAAAATGCAAATGATTGGTTAATCTCGTAGATAATTCTTTGTATCGGAGGAATCGAGCCTAAATGTGTGATTGAAATTAAAGTACGGTACTTTTGTATGCCGACTTATAGTCAATTTACAATATGCTTATTTATAATTTTTTTAGAAGAAACAAATTGAAATAATGTTGATAACTCCAATAAGCCGCAGGAAATTGATTAAACAAATTCACATTAATTCGCGCAATTAAGTTCTTTGGAAATATCACACATGCGAATGAAGAAAATTTAATATGTAATTTTCCTAAATTCATTTAAATGACATTATGAAAATACTCCTACAGTCATGTTGCAACTATCTATTATCTGCCTGTTGTATGTCTTGAATATTCAACTGATAAATTATCTTTTGTGAATTATAAAAATATTACTTATCATTATGAGCAAAAAGTATTTTGATTTTGATTTTCTGAAATGCTTACTGTCTTCAAGTGAAATATCAAATGAAAATTGAGTAAGTTTACCAAATAATTCCGGTAAAAATATTATACTACATTTCTTGGCCTTTGGTCAAACACTTCATGTAGTGTTGTTTCTAAATGCTTGGGAAACAAACGTTCTGAAAAAGATTAAATATTTAGAAGAAGACTTATTCTTGTATATATGAAAGTACTTACTGAATTATATTTGGTAACTCTTTGTATCGACAGATGTATTTATGCCCAAGTCCATATGACGAATCTATTCTTGACATTTTAATACGATTTGAATCATTTCCATGATATTGTGAAGCCGCATTATAAAGCTATAACACATATTCATAGTTTTATTAAGTTTCATACATGCCAACAAGGAAAAGTGATTGAACATTAAACATTAAAGTAAGTGTTATACCTTTTCACCTAAAGAAAAAGGTACAACTCCATCGTCTTCTGCATGTAATATCATCACGGGACACTTAATCTTTGTAATGTGTTTGTCCGATTCAAATCTTAAATTATTGTTGTAGAATGGTTCGACGATAACCCAATGGAACCATGGTAAATGTCTAAATATCTTTAAAGAATATAATAAGATGAATTCCCTAAATTATCATGATAGGTAAATAATATTGCAATTACCCGTGCAAATGGATGTTCAGTCAGTTCATCAGCTATATTATTAAATGGTGACTCAAGAAACAAGCCTGCAGGATTTATTCCCTCTTCTGCTAATAGTGCTAAAGCGTGTGATGATACTCTATAATAAAAATAAATAAATTAACACTGCAAGGAAAATAACAAACGATTACTATTATACTGATATTAACCCTGTTCCTAATGAGTGTCCCCAAATAAAAACTGGTGCTGCGCCATTTACTTTTTTGAGAAGCCACTCAATCACATATTTGCTGTCCGCAACTACTCCATATTCAGAAAGCTCCACATTGTCACTGTCACCGTAACCTGATGATCCAAAAAATACATGTTGCAAAAAATGGTGTATCTTAATATCAGTATGTATATCCATTGTGGCTCATACTTCTATAATCAAAGCATACAACGTGATAATCTAGACTTTGGAAGAGATTATACAATTCCACTCTATGACCACTGCCTCTGTTACCACTATTTCCATGCATATACAAGAATACAGGACGTTCAGCATTGCTTAATACAGCTTCATAATCTTCATCAGTCATTGGAATGGTACTATTTAATAGAGACTGAGGTAAGATTTGCCTAAAACATATTTTATAAGAATACCAAGTGTTTCGATAGAATTGCATTCTTTAATCAGAGTTCTTACCATGCCCCTATTTTCACATCTTGATGAGTCTTTAAGTAAAAGTTTCTGGCACCCACAACTCCTACTTCTTCTGGCTTAGATAAATTTATATCACGTGGCCAGTACACTGCACAAAGAAAACTATATATTCAACATTTGAATACATCATTGTTTCTAATAGTAATACATCAATATCATTTCTATTTTAGAGGAGCACATGCCAGTCATACTAGTTCATGTTTCATAATGACTAAGAAAGTTGGATTTCTTGATATATATAGTAAAAAAAAAACTTCAGTAATTTGCTTAGTTATATACTTTGTTCAGTAATCAATATGTAAGTTATCTAAGAGATGTGTAGACTTGAATCAGACTGTCGCACACGACGTTTACATTAATTTACTTCTCTTAATAATACCAGCAAATACTTACCAAAGTTCAAGAACAATATTTTTCTTTGTATGTCGTATGAGTAATGGAATATCAAAGGTAAAAGTCCGAAAATAACGAGGTACAGTACAATGGAGACCTTCATTGTCCATAATAGAGACCTGCAATACGTTTCATGGTATATAAATATTATTTCCTCTTAATAGTATAATAATATTTAAAAACACGAAATCTACTAAACTGTACATCAAGCTGCTGATTTATATACACAATGAAGCAATTATTGATGAATTAAAGAATTGCTTTAAAACACGATTTTTTTTGTTATTAGCTATTATTTGATACACCACAAGTACCTTATATAGTGCTATAATAAAATATATACATATATATATATATTTACAACTCCAAATTTTAAAGAATCGCTTTTTTTATAAAATAATTGTAGACTGCTCAAAGTCCACAAGAAGTCTGCAGCATGCGCGAAAATACATTTCAAAATCGAGCTAATAAGTAATATTGTGTAGTTGTATGTTTTTATAGATAGTATTAAAAAAAAAGTCATAAGTATTCATCAAGATGCGAGAATTACTTTTATTTTTTGAGTCAGATATACTTTGAGTTACATTGTATTTACTAATTACTTTATAATAAAAATAATATGTAATCTATATAAACAAAGAGAAGCCATCCTATTTATAAGCGCCGACTATAGAATGTACGAATTCATCATGCTAATTACAACGTGTCTCTATCAATCCAGAATCGATGAATTCGATTATCAAACCTGACTAGTTCATGGAATTCTAGTGTCATGATACAACCTACGATCTGGTCTGTTCCAGTATTAACGCTTCAGAATGCATCAAACTCGTTTGCAATTGAATAAAACTGGAGTCTTGCAATCTTGTTAAGCATGTTGTATTTAATTAGGGCAAATCCTGTAATCATAAAAAAACCTTTGCTCGAATACCCGAGCAATATTGATACGTTGCTAGAATAGCGTATGTGAAAATGGAAAAGATCTTCCAAAATTTAATACCACTAGATAACTAATGACGAAATTTATAACTGGACTAATACAACTAACTATTAATGCTATAGCGAAGTGATGGAATTAGAATGCAGATAGAACAGAATGCATGACAATAATATTTGCAACGTTGGATTTCAACTATACAAACAAATTATACCGTCACCAGATATACGTACTAACAATAGTGCATTAACATATAGGAAACAATGGTGATTGACATTTAATGATGTGGTTATTAAATATTGAAACTGCATTCATGTTTTTACATAACAAGTGGACAACTTTATTGCTAAATATTAAGCGTCGAGTTCGAGTAAGGCGCGTTAAAGAAAATGAGAATTTTCACGTTAATTTACGAGAGTATATCTGACGAAGTCGGCGCTTAGTGCATTCAGTGTCGAATTGTTATATGACGATTTGTAAAACAAGTAGAACTTACACTCCAAAATAGAAATTATCAATGCTGATGAAAAGTACCACAGCTGCTAATAGTGGTAGTATGTAGTAGTTCGACCGCATGTTTGTTAGTGGCTAATTAACGTTAAGGAACTTTATCAAGATAAATCCTCTGTTTAACGAAGTTGCATTCACCGACTTCTGGTAAGAAGTTGTTCAGCAGTCGTAGTAAATCGGATGTTAAGTTATAGTGACTGTACCTACGGTGGTATGTCGGTGTCTATAGTATATACAGAAGTCAAATATTAAGATGCTTATAATTTGTCGGCCATTTAAAAAGATTTTTTTAATTCGACGTATCAAAATGTGAACTGTTCAAAGTAGCAGAATGTAAATTTGCTGATATTAATGAAACGAAAAGTTAAGCGTTTTGGTATTTCGAGCGATCATATTTCTGCTTTCATATAACAAAACTATATTGAGTAACAAGTCACAGCCATGCTCAAATAATTTTGTAACTTAAAAAATGATGGAAATAAAAAAATGTCAAATCAAGCTTCCCTCTTTGATACAGACACTTACAACTCAAAAGATAAGCATATTATGCATAATTTACACAATATGCAAGAAAATGAAGGATTTGAAACAGTGTAATGCGTAAGGGACTATATAGCCTTATTATTACATATTATGGATTTTCCTAATTTGAATTCGTTAATATATCATTTTTGTTGTTAACTGATAGATATAAGATAAATAGTTAAAGTCAAGTAATAAATTTGATTTGGTACGCTGTCATACCTGTAACATCTCATTTCGATTGGAGAAAAATCAAAGTTTAAAAAACACTAATTAATCAAAATAAAATGAATACTGCACAAACGTGAAGCAAACAGAGAATGATGCGCAAAGCACTGAAAACATTTTCTGGTGTAATCTCACGTCAGCGCAGAAGTCCCGATCATCAGAAATATACAATTATGCAAAGTCATTTAATTTCATTAATATTATCTTACTGCGTATACAACAAAGTCATTTACAAGACTGTTTGGCAATGTTACAAATGACGTGCAACAAGAATTTTGCTCTTTTAAAATGTATATGAATATTTGAATAATCTTCTTTTAACCTTCGAGTTTTATGATATTGTTAAATATCAATTGGCTGTTTTAATTAATATTTGTTTATTGAGAAAAAAATAAGATTACTTGAAAAACATGTATACAATGATGTTTATCTTTCAATTGGTGTTAAATATTTCTTTCTTTTTCAAAATACTAAAAGTCAATATTGAAAGATTATTTTTATCAATATATCATTGCATAATAAACGTTTACATAATGAAACTAACTATATAAAAAAACTCGTGAAATATTAATTTCAATTAGTAAAACGTAATAATTAGTAAAAGTCGTTAATGTAGTTAAAGTAAAATAATGTGGTTATAAATATTTGATAAAATATGTAATTTAGAAATTACAAGATATCTCAACCAAATCTTTTGTTCTGAATGAGAGGCGGAAAAGAGAAGAGTAACTGTCATTAAGTACCTTAGATTTGGTAAATGAAAATTAGTCAATAAATTACTGTTCTATAGTCCCACAGCAAAAATTCACCTGAACAAAACAATCACTTAATATTGCATAAGTTGTTATAAAACTCAAAATCATGCACATTCGACAAAGCTAACGATACCTTTTTATAATACGTCTTTTTGGTAGCCAGTATACCATAATTAATGCAAACGAGGTAACGAGGTAACTCGCCAACCAAATAAAATTTCTATTCGACCAATGTTCAAGGATATGGCAATTAAAATAGGTAATATTTCACTTCACCTAAGTAACAGCAATCCTTATAAAAAAGGAGAAAAGTGCTAAATAAACAGCACTTTTAATCGTCTAATTTCTCGAGTGACGTCGAGTTCCACGTTCTTTTCGCTTTGATAATAATGCTTTTCTTACTCATACCCTGATAAACAGAACAAAGTCTCCTCTGGTCTCCTCAATTCACGTGCTAAGTACCTGCTTTATCCCAATTTAATAAGTTGGCTGTGTGTACGATCTCACAGATGAACACAGATGAACACGACAAACTAATGGTCAACGAATAAATTCCTTCCCTCCTTTCCTTATGGTTGTATCCCCAATGGGGGACATGTGCCAGTAACTGGTCCTAATAATCAAGGTTGGAAGTTCGACAATAGATGGCGATATACCTTGCGAGACGGGCCTTATTCAACTCAGCGTGAGGGGACCTACAAAGTTTATACACGGAATCCGAACAGTGTTGGGCGAAATCCGTATAAATACTCACTTAAGTTTTCATGTGAAAACCCATTGGTGAATGCCGCTGGAAGCTGAGCGCGAACCTCCAACCTTTCGGTTCGTGAATCCGCTACCCTATCCACTGGGCTACGGCCGCCCCCAACGAATAAATTCGACATCCATAGCTAGAGCTTCATTAAGCAGTCGCTACGAGAATGGACAAAAACATAATAAAATGATGTCCATTCAAAAGTACGGCGGCTAGTAAAAGATAAGACGTAATTGGTAGTAAACTGCTACAACGTTAGTCTCAATAGCCAATAGCCTGCAAACTTTTACTAGTTATCGATGCTTGATAATTTTGTGAACTGGCCTTAATCGTGAGGACATTATGGTCGTGGATTGTCCTCTTGCTTGAGCTTAAGAGTAAGTTCTTTGTAAAATTGTATTCAGTGATCGTTATACAGCAAAATACGGTAAAATGGCGACCACCATAGATCCTGTTAGAGAAAAGGCTCTTCAAGATTACAGAAAAAAGCTTTTAGAGCATAAAGAAGTGGAATCACGCCTTAAGGAAAGTAAGTTTGTTGTATTTTCGTTATATTTACCGATAGGTAACGCTTGAAGTTTCATAAGTATAAGGACACCTTATATACCTTAACCATTCTCTACCTGTCAATTTGTATTCTTGTTAATTAAGAATTAATCATTATTTTTTAGTGCGCGAACACCTCAAGGATCTCACCAAACAGTATGATAAGTCAGAAAATGATTTAAAAGCTTTACAGAGCGTTGGACAGGTATAGGAATAGAATTTTTTTCAGTGCACGTAGAAAACAATCTTTCTGATTGTATATTGATTTTTCAGATTGTTGGAGAGGTATTAAAACAACTCACTGAAGAAAAATGTAAGTTAATTATTTGTAGTATTGAAATTATATTCTATTGGAAATATTTATGAAGTGTTATTTGATAATAATTATGAAATGTTAATTTCAGTCATTGTAAAAGCTACGAATGGTCCACGTTATGTAGTGGGATGTAGACGTCAACTTGACAAAAATAAGTTGAAGTCTGGAACAAGAGTAGCGCTAGATATGACTACACTCACTATAATGCGATATTTACCAAGAGAGGTACAAAAAAATTATATTAATAATAGAATATATATTTTACTGAACTATAACAAAATGATTTACAGGTCGATCCTTTAGTATATAATATGTCTCATGAAGATCCTGGTGATGTTACATACTCTGCCATTGGTGGTTTAAGTGAACAAATTCGAGAGTTAAGAGAAATTATCGAGTTACCTCTATTAAATCCAGAACTTTTTCAAAGAGTTGGAATCACACCTCCTAAAGGTTGTCTTTTGTATGGACCACCAGGAACCGGGAAAACATTGTTGGCTCGCGCTGTTGCTAGTCAGTTGGATGCCAATTTTCTAAAGGTCGTTTCTAGCGCCATTGTTGACAAATACATTGGAGAATCTGCGAGATTAATTAGAGAGATGTTCAATTATGCGCGCGATCATCAACCTTGCATTATATTCATGGATGAAATTGATGCTATTGGTGAGTACCATTTTAATAAATTTATTTTCTTTATTTTTTTAAAGAATTTAACCAATTATAATATGTTTACAGGTGGACGTAGGTTCTCTGAAGGCACAAGCGCTGATCGTGAAATTCAAAGAACTTTAATGGAGTTGCTCAACCAAATGGATGGTTTTGATTCTCTGGGTCAAGTTAAAATGATTATGGCTACAAACAGGCCTGATACATTAGATCCAGCGTTGCTTAGACCTGGTAGATTAGACCGTAAAATTGAGATTCCACTGCCCAATGAACAAGCTAGGTTGGAAATTTTGAAAATTCATGCTGGTCCTATTGCCAAACATGGAGAGATTGGTGAGTGTTTTTAACTTTACGTTCAAAGAAAGAAAAATGTTGACATGTAAGAACTTAATTATGAATTTTTGTGCTTTAAGATTATGAAGCGGTGGTCAAGTTATCTGATGGTTTTAATGGTGCTGATTTAAGAAACGTATGTACCGAAGCTGGCTTGTTTGCTATCCGCGCAGAACGAGAGTATGTTGTGCAAGAAGACTTCATGAAGGCTGTACGAAAAGTCTCTGATAATAAGAAATTAGAATCTAAACTGGATTATAAGCCCGTCTAATATCTTTATATCAACATTCATAACGTGTATGATGCCTTGTACGCGATAATTATAAATACTGGTAATCAAACTATACCAGTATTACATTTGTATGAAAGAATGAAATTAAATATGAAAACATTGTGTCAATAAGTTTTTTATTTATGAAAATTAACAAAAAAATTATGGACGCATGAAAACACAAATCCTTGATCCTTAATTCTTCCAAATTATAGAATTACGTCCATTTTGATCATACGTTAAATACCAATAAGCATTATGTACAATTCAACATATGATTAGGTACAGTTATTACAGTTTATTAATATTCATATTTACACAACCACCTAGGTTTCAGAAATTTTTGTCAAACGCGACTTTTTCCTATCTTGATATTCCTGCACATTATCATATTTTCTTTTATATAATATAGGAAACAAGCTTTGCTCGTTTACATTACTTCTTAATTTCTTCCAAGAGTTATTGACTTTCATTAACAAACAGTTTAGTTTATCATTTTGTGAAATGTTTCCTTGAGTCTCATAAATATTTAAACCTTGATTTGTCAAAATCCATAAGTTAGTTTTATAAAAAATAAAATCCAAAGGTTCATCCTCTATATCAAATGCATTTATGTATGTTATATTAAATTGATTTTGTGTAGTTTCACAAACTTTATACATAAGAATATTATTACTGTAGTACAAGCTGATTGCCAAAATAGAATCCGTCTCATTCAGCTTTGTTGCTCTTAAATGTTTAACAGGTATTTCTGTTACATTTTCATCAAGATCACAACTTTGAAGATGCTTAGTAAATCTTGCAATGTCATTTTCTGGTATGTTATTGGAAAGTTTAATAGAAGAAACTTCCTTTCCACTTCGATAGTCCCATAATTTGAGAAAACCATCACCACCACACGATATCATAATCTTCTTATTATGAGGCAACTCGCATATGTTGGTTACAAACTTCTCATGTCCTAGACAATAAGCAGCAATATTGTAGCTGTTTGGATACATCGAAACACGGATCTTCTCATCACGATCAGTAGTTATAACATACTTCTGATCGTCAGTAACCAAAACATCAAGTAACATGGATAAGTGTCCCAATAAAAATCTTCCATTGTCTTCTAGAGTATTTGTTGAAAACACGTACACGTCTCCAGTCTTATCAGCAACAATTATATCATTGTTTGGACAAAACCTTACTTTGCTTGCTGCTCTAACCAAACACCTGTTCGATACAAGTTCTCGTGTCTTCCTTTTGTACAGACATAGCTGTTTTCGATTTGTACAAATCAGAAAGTATTCCCCATTTTTTGAAAACGACACATTGGTAGTCGCATGATAAAGATCCAGTTCAACATTATTATGAAAATTGACTTCCTTCTTGAATTGTAATTTAGGTAGGACAATAACACTTTCTTTGTCGTCTAGTAAGTTGTATGTTAATACATTTTCACCGCTGCATAAAACAACGTCTGAGTCGAACACTGAGAAGCTCATGATATAATTATTCAAAAGTTCTTTTGCTATAAAACATTTAAAACAAAGGTAGAAATAAACAATTCCTTGCTGTTTGCCAATATGACACGCTGCTAGCTAACAATTAAGAAGAGTTGATTGAAGATATCAATTCACAGATGTCCCTCTCTGACCGGAAAGATGAATATACCTAATTTATCGAAATTTCCGTTTAGACTATAGGTATTGACAGAAGATAAGTACTGTAAGTATTCTCGTGTGTCGGTGATGTCCGAATCTTTCATATTGATGCATCGTTGAGAATGCTGCCATCTGTAAATTGAAGCAGCTATACTTCATTGGCGCGGATCAAGAAACTCGATCGAGTCTTGCAAGTACAGCAGCGTATTACTGATATGTAGAAAATATTATATACATAAAGGTAAATCCTACTTGGGTGGCTACCAGTGATATCACATGATGGTCAGAAACTCGTACGTGCTACACTACTAAAATGAAACCCACCAAAAAACACTTAGCTGTAAAAAACTATGCCAAGTAAAGGAGTACTGTGAATTGCTCTAAAAAAAAGTATCGAAATCATTTACATGATTACATTACATGATTGTCGCACCACTTGTTTATCGGTAGTCGGGCGCGAGGGAGGACTAACTGGCATGCGGAAGGATGTATCGCGGTAGACTTCAGTCTTCGGAGGGTCGATAACCTAAATCGAACTCTTCAACTTCGCATCCTTTCCTCATTCCTTCACCCCTCCTAATAGACTGCATCATATTGCGATTCATTAATCACTTCATCTTCTTCTCATCTGCCTGCTGAGGTATAATCACTTAGTTATCTACTTATTCTCTCTCTTGATCTACCGCTACCTCTCTCTTTCTCTCTCTTTCCTTCTTTCTTAGTGTTACCTATCTTCCGAATTTCTTCCGCTGAGCTATATCTACTTCGTAATATCACTTTAGTATCACTGAAATCTCCGTAGTAAATATGGAGACGAGTAGGGGGATGCACAACGCTACGGCTTTAGGCGATACCAAAAAGGTCGCGTAAAATCAGCAAACGCAACTGGATGCACAAACGGGAGCGGACGGTTACGGAAATGCACGGCCGCTCAGGCTGCTAGGTCGAGGTAGAGAATGTCGAAGTAAGCGTCAGGCAAATAGTGCGATACATAGAGAGCAATGGATCGAGAACGTAGCAGAACGAATCGGAGCTCTAAAATGGAAACCCCTCCACCAATTAATAAATTGGGAGTACTCACCGGAGCTGTTGCAGCTGATTCGTGAAGGCCGAGAACTGCATCCAGGAAACACTCGGGTGGGCACTACACTAGGGCACAGCACTGTACTTCCGGAACACTCACAGGAAATCCATAGAATTTCCTGGATACCGCGAAAGCAACGCGAGAACTACACGAACGAGAACTTGCTACAGCGTGTCGAAACACAGCTAGAAAAACTATCAACAGACAGCACGGAAGCGCGAGCCAGTTCGTGACACTTCGGTCGGTGCCCCAAGACAGACTGCTTTGACAATAGCCAAATTCGAGAACTAATCATTCTGATCATCTGATTGGTCGAGATCCTTATAGCCGATAACTCTTCCCTTTCCCTGGAGTCGGCCCTTTAAACCAATTCGAGAGCGTTCCTTAACGAATCGGTACGTAACTTCTGGAGATCCTCCACGGCCGCTTCTCCGGGGCATCGGGCGACAGCTGGACACCACATCCTTAACTCGGGTCAGGGGGTTCCTCTCCTGCCGTTAACCGTAACAAAACTATATGTCGAAACACAGCTAGAAAAACTATCAACAGACAGCACGGAAGCGCGAGCCAGTTCGTGACACTTCGGTCGGTGCCCCAAGACAGACTGCTTTGACAATAGCCAAATTCGAGAACTAATCATTCTGATCATCTGATTGGTCGAGATCCTTATAGCCGATAACTCTTCCCTTTCCCTGGAGTCGGCCCTTTAAACCAATTCGAGAGCGTTCCTTAACGAATCGGTACGTAACTTCTGGAGATCCTCCACGGCCGCTTCTCCGGGGCATCGGGCGACAGCTGGACACCACATCCTTAACTCGGGTCAGGGGGTTCCTCTCCTGCCGTTAACCGTAACAAAACTATATCTCCGCCTGCTCTACAGCCCTTTGCCCATCTTCAGCGGGGCGCCGGTATCTCACCCGGGCTTCTGCCGGTCCATGGAGACGTCTCCGTCGGGTACTCTCCTCTGCCGGGCAACTAGGTACGTCGAGACTATCTCCCCACGGCAGATTCGAGCACCTCGACCTCAACTAAACAATAACGAAATCTTACGAGAGCATTGGCATAACTATACGAATTAACCCGAGAGCGTAGCTTCTGAGCAGGGTGGTGACTCGAAGGGAATCAGAAAGCGAGAACGTTATCTGTATCGGTAGCCGGAGGCGCCTTGTGACCGTGAATCGAAAAATCACGTCACAAAGTTTTCCCATGTACCAGCGTATCTAAAATAATTGTACATAGTGTATTGCGCTAAGTACATTATATAAATGTTAAATAATAAAGTGAATTTATGGGAACAATAATAATTGATAGGGAAAAGACCTGAGACTGCTGACCCGATAGTGCATCCGGGGAATAAGCAAGATGAAGAGAACGCAGAACATCCCCTAGCGTTTTTCGCGTGCAATTTCCTCTCTGAGCTACAATGCTGACCTGTTCTATGTTATTGTACTGTGGTTTTAACACAATCACGGAATTATCTTGTTCGGCAATTTCAAATTGCATAGTTCCGTTCTGTTTCACTTTGTTCGAAACGAATTGTCCTTTAAAAATAATCGAAGCGAGCGATGGGCTTTTTCATTGCTGCAATTCTATGCCTGTGCGAAATACACATAACCAATTCTATATAATAAAAGATCGACATATAAACTCGGAACTATGCAATATTGAAAAATTCGTATTTCGAGTTCCGTAACAATATCCGAGATAATGAAACCAAATCAGAATTTAATTGCAAAATATTTCGTTATGTAAATAATAAAATGTGGTTCACTCATACAGTCTTGTATATTGCTTTTCATTATTATTATTATTACGCGGTAAAAATCTCGAAAATTGAGCAAATCTGGAATTGCAAAACGATCATCGTTGATTGGTATTTTTTTTAGTAATTTGCACCATCTTGCGGTGGCATCAGTAACCTTACCATCTCAGTCGGTAACTTGATCGACGGATATCTGCGACACTCTGGTTCACGTGGCACAAAACCTCGTAAGATGGCCGATCTATATATCTTCAGTTAAGGTTTCAAAAGCTCAAAGGATACATGCAACGTGTGAATGATTAAATAATCAAACAGCTGTTTTGAGATATATCTCAAAACAATACTCTATAAAATGTCATTCCCCTTTGTTTTTAAAGTGTTTATAAATGCATTTAAAATACTCATAACGTGAACAGAGCTGGTCTCCTTTTTTCACAATGCGTTCTTAGTATTATCGAGTTAAATCTTTCAAAAATCCTTGCTACGACCTACAGACAAAACACTACCTAACCACCATGATATACCAATGTGCCTGTTAATTTTAGCCGGCTCGAAAGTTACCAGAATATCACAATTGAACCTTTTGCTTTCACTGATAAAATTCAATGATCATCCAGCATTTCGTTTTGAAATACATTTCAATGGTGAAGTTTGAAAGGATTCGTTTATATTGAAATAATAAAAACCTTTTGTCAGTGATGAAACGAGAAAAGGATTGGTACACTACGTTGTATTTTGATTGCCACAAAGAAATGAGATTTGGTTAGTACGCAAATAATATATTTCCAAAAAGTCATCTTAGAGATGTCTAAGAGATAATTGCTGTGTCGTTCGACATCTCAAAGGTGACTTTTGACCTTGTATAGTCTGGGTATTAACTTCTAAGAACAAGTTAGCCCCATTTTGTAAGTTCTAACTATACTGTCGAGACCTTTCCATAGGGAAAATTCGATTTTACCCGACTTCCAGTTAGACTTAAAGAAAGGAAGATATTTTGCTATGTCAAGAGTACAATGACATATATACATACATACATATATGTATATAATAGTGTACTTTTCCAATGATGGGAAAGTTATTGTAGGCTGATATGTAAATTTTTTATTTTGTCACTCTCTCAACAATTTATTTTAGATTCTAATTCCCTTAGTACATGCTATTCTAGATATCTATTAGTTAGCGAACGAAATCGATCCAATTCACAATAATGGAAAAACATTATTCTGCATTCTCAGCTTTGTTAACGCGATAATAATAAACGTCGGAATTATAGCCGGAGACGTTGACAATCTTGAAATTATTTATATGATGTGTTTATAAAAGGAACACTCGGTACGTAAAATGTAATACTGTTATCTCAAATATTAATTTAAAGTTTAAAATTCGATGACAAACTGCTGCCAGACTTGAATTGAATATCACGAAAATATACGATGGAAACAGGTCAGCTTTATCGATGCGCGTTGAATATTAGTTTTGATTTTCACAGTCATTACTTACGTCAATTAAACAGAATGAATTGCTCTACTGCTTTTTTTTTTATGTACGCACTTTATACACCGGACGACTTTATCAAAGCTTTCATGCACGTAAAATTTAAGTAATGATTTTGTTTACAAAATTTCGAAATTCCACACTCGTAGTTGAGTGGAAACCCACGCGTTAAGATTACTGGGATATATCGTGAAATGGAATTGATTTTTAGTTTTTGCTTTACAAAAAAAAAACGATGAACCTTTTCCACGAAATTTAACTCGTTATTCGTACAAAATTACGTCTATTGAATTAGTAGGCTTTTCAGTATGTTTCAAACTTTCATCAAGATCCTATGTGACTCAAGTATAAAAAAGTTCTTTCACCGCTGAAAGATCTCAACTCTTTGGATCGCAAAAGCTTCAGTAGAAATTACTGGGCCGAATTTACCGCCCGATATTTTGCCTTTTATAAGACCCACTTGAGTTTCTAAGGCGCCGCCTTTTAACTGAGATTCGTCAAGGGCGTTATTACGTAAGACACAAAGGTTATCAGATTTGTTCGTATTCAGTTTGTCATAGGAACGCGTGGATGTCAATGAGGACTAGTATTCTCTTTGATAATTTAATATAATTTGTTGTATATATATTTCATAGAAGAAACAGGGACTAGAATTACTAAATTAGAAGTACAAGGGTTAACCTATATCCAATGTTAAGACACTTTAGCTTTTGGTAGAAGCGAATGCTTGTTTCGCAGCGATAGCAAACATTGTCAGCAACTACTATAGCAAAATGCGGGTAAACCTTGCCGCAGTGCAACAATTCTCGAAATATCAGAAACCAATAGTTACTTCAGCGTCAAGCAAGTAGTTGATTGTTATACTATAGCAATACCGTGTATCTCGTATATCGAGGATATTGTACCAATCCGAAATTGGTGATACTTAGGTTAGGTTGGGTCTAAACGGAAATGCTGGGAATATCCTTATGAATTGTTAATGAAACGAATCAAACTATTCTAAGGCATCAGTTAAGTAATGCTTTTTCACCCTACCGTTTCATTTTGTTTCCACGTTGTCTTCGTAAAGTCCACATTATTCTTGAAGTTTATCCTCTCCATTGAAGCGGCAAATAAGCTTCTTGCAAGACGAAGCAACGAAACGGTCTGGTACGAATAGAAAATATAACGAGGAAGCAGTGAGAACGTACGAAGAAGATATACAGTGAAAACTGACCACTGTTTGAGTCTCTTATGCAAAATCTAGCTGTCGTTTTTACTTCTGGTACAACAATAGTAAAAAAGTTTGACTTGTGTGTCGAGAATGTCCTGGCGCTCGTAAGTGGTCGAGTAAGTAAAGCATTATTATGTCTATGTTGCGCGAAAGGCTTCCTTCCACGCGACGATTGGAGGTTCGCCATTGCGCATCAGACTCAGGACGCATGCGCCACTCCAAAAACGTTGGCTGTTAGATCATTTCGCGCCGCGCTGTCTCGGGCTTCTTGTCAGTCCGGTCGCTTGATATTCGCGTGTCAAACGTTGGTAAAACTAGTAACGGTTTGACGACAGTAAAAGTAATGGAAAATAGACGATGAAGAAACAGGCCGAAGAAATCGAGACATAACGTATACACGTGTAAGAAGGATTGTTGCTTTTTTTTTCAAATCGTCGAGAAATCGTGACTTATACGACGTGATCGGATCGCGTTGAAGATGCGGCAAAAGTTATTGAGAATTGCGGCGTCTCCTTTTAACGGCACTAAAGTTCATATCGTTGACATCGATAAGCTCCGATGTACGAATATGCAAAGGGATCACAAGGCTCCCATGTGCATGACATTTTAAGGAACATGGATTGTAAATACCAGTGAGGACGGCTACGTCGGCTTCCTAGTGCTGAACACGTTGTCCCAAGAGGCAGCGCTGTGTGTCGAACGGCTGTCGTCGTTACGACCAGCATATCTGATTAAGAAGGCCGCCGTTAATTGGAAACTCGTGAACCTTCGCGTGTGACAGCTTTGTTATTTGCTTCAGAAGTGCGGGGAACGTCGTTAGAGAAAAGCGCGAACGGATTGAATGGAAAGAAAAGGGTTGTCGCGTCTGCTGGGAAGGACGAGGAAATAAAAGTGAAAGAGGATCTTGAGAAGAGTATAGACAAAGGGACAAGAAGTTGAATCTTTTTTATCTAACTGACAAGTGAATTGCGGTGAAGTGAATTGTGGAAAAAATGCTGTTTCAATTGATCGCTGTTCTTCTCACAGTATTTGATGCGTGCTCAGTTCAAGGTACGTGATAAAACTTCTTTTTCTTCGCCATACGCTTTAACGTGGATTTCTGGGATGTTTTTAATCTTCCCTTGTTTTCTTTTTGCTTCACAAAGGACATCTGTGATCACTTTTTCGCTTCCAACAGACCTCTTCTTACGTTCAATTTCGGCGATTCTCTTTTGCGATAAAGTCTCTCACGTGCCATAAAAAGAAAGAAACTCAAGAGATCTTTACGGCTCGTCGCATCTCGCTTATTTTTCCATCTAAGAAAAGGGTCGTCCATTCAAGTGCTACAGGATGATTCGTCGGGTCATCCCATTTTTCGAGTAAACGCACACATTCCTGAAAACGTTTCCGGTACTTGTCCTATATCTTTCTGCGAAGAGCTTTTAAGAGCTGCCTATTTTGACAACTTCATTGTGCCAGCCATATTTACCCAATATGTTATCTGACTGTATTTCATTAGACCGAGGAGTCTCGCTAAAGGAATTAATCGAGAGTAAAACGAGCTGCACCAAAGAGTTACTCTAAAACACTTAAGATCTTAATAACGTATAGAGACGACTTGACGACCTTTTACTAAGGATCGGATTTTTCAAGCTGAAAGTCGTTACCTTACTTTGAAAGCAAAGTGCGCAAGTGTTTGAACAGTTACCTTTAGCCACTCCTAGGAAAAGGGTCGTTAATGATGATACAACATTGCAAGATAAAATGAAGGCTACGACAAAATCAGGCCAGTGGGGATATACAGAGCAGTGGGGTTCTGTACTGAAAGACACGTTACGCTCTTGTCTCGACATTTTTTGAAAATTCTCTTTGATGGATGGAAGGGATTCATACTCATTAATCGACAGGAAGGTATACAGAATTGTTTAATAACGATGGTATTTCTACGCTCAAAGGCTAAAATTGACACACGTACAGCGGCATCGGGATTAAGCTTAATTCACATCCCCCTACACATTAATATTGCTTATGAATCTGAATATAGCCCTGCGACTATATGAACTAGACCTAGTACCTAAACCAATAAAAATTACACGTCCCTCCGTGGATGCGAATAAGTATATGGACCTGTGTGTACGTATTGATATTCACATGAATTACATCGAGCGCCTGATTAATATAACGAGCGACCAGTGCCCCTCTAGTCATGTGCCATACACACGTGACCTTTAGATTTGCATCAGTGGATCGATTGCAATTTAAAACCTTGTTTATCTCGGATTACTCCGACTCTAGTTCATCCTACTATAGCTGAACCCGCTTATTCCTCATTTTTATCAGCTTCTTATCATTGGACGTTTTTTACTCTCGTACATCGCTAGCAAAAAGTTACAGCGGTCTGAGTTAACGTTAAGGCCTCGTTAAATGTCTACATATTTGAAAAGGGTAGGGAAACTGCACAAAACCATAAAACACGACGTTAAACCCTACCTTGAACCCTTTCAAGGCTTTAATGTAAGTTAAGCGTAATGCAGAAAATATGCTAGGAACATTAAGGTCTTCGACTGTAACTCGTTACCGTTCGGCCGTCTCGACCCTCCGCAGCTGTCTTCGCGGAAGGCTCTTGTTTACGTTCACGCTTTGATTGCGCAATTCAGCTTGGGTTTCGGTAGACACCAAATTATCGTACTGTCAGTTTCCCTTGGACTCGGTGTGACGTTCGACGTTGTGTCTGTATGGTATTTAAATATAATAGGATGGAAAATTTTAGATTCGGACAGAGTATCGATTTTACCCATGCCTTATGCATTATGCATCTTTTTCTTTCGTAGCTTCGTCCACGATCTTCTTCCTCGTCTGTTAGGTATGCGCCTTGAACTTGAGGCATCATTCGCGTACGAGCCACGGGGCCTCTGGTACGTCATTAATTTACTCGATATTTCATGGGTGTCCATTTTAGTGGTTTAACACACGTTTTGTCGGTCCATTAATAAAAGCCCCCTCCCCTTCCGGCGAGCAGCTTGAAAGAGATCAGGCCTTGAATGAGGGCGCGTATCTCAACTCGCTTTACCCTTATTTTTCTTAGCTGATATTCTTCAGATTTCTACATCAAGGGCTCTCTAACTCGGCTCTGTCCGGCGTTCACTGCGGTTCAATTTATTTTACCGGTTTTAATACCATCAGCCACGTGTGCTCTGCGTGGCTGACGGATGAGGCTTCCTAGAATGTGGGTTTCATGCAAAGGACGATAAAGTTCGGCCAGTGGATTTTCGGTTTTATGGCAGTGCCCAAGTTTTTTCGAATTTTCTTAATTTCTCATTCTAACGATCCAATTAATTTTTCGAAATTTCCTCTCGCGCTGTCAACTACGTTCGAATCATTTGTTTGCAAAGGTTGTGCCGACTCCAATGGTTCCACGTAGCTCTGTGTCGGAATATCAATCAACTTCACTTTTTCATACTTTTCTTTTCTCTGCCGGTGAATCCTGAAGGCGAGAATCAATTTAACAAGAAACAAAAAAAACTCTTGTCAGCCTGTTTCCATGTAACAGGATCGATGCGTATCTGCATAAATAGAAATTATCAAAAAAAAAAAAAAAAAAAAGAAAGTAGACAAACACGTTGCACTAAAAGGTATCGTTCAAAAAAAAAAAAAAAAAAAAAAAAAAAAAAAAGAAAGTAGACAAACACGTTGCACTAAAAGGTATCGTTCAATCTCAGTTCCGATACAGTGCGAGTTTTACGTGCGTTCCTATCGGAAAATTCACTTGAGCTTAACAGGATTCGTCTGTATAATACATAAGCCCGGAAGTGGCCGAGGAGTTTTTGATAAAAGCCAGAAGCTTCGACATGTTATATATGTCGGGGAACGTGGGAAGGAAAAAAAAAAGGAAGAAGCACGGTAGGACAGGGAGTGATGGACGTTTAGACAAGATTCCACAGGGGTGCATAAATACCCAGTTGGAGTTTTTGTCATTTTTTTTTTTCTATCATATTCGAATATTAATTTATCATCGAACAAGGTCATCCCCCCCCCAACGTCTAAAGACATTATGCGTACTGAAGTTCGTTCCCTTTAACCTGATAACATTCTTCCCACTCATTCACTTCGATACCAGGCTTCAAAAAAATTGTACGGGGTGTCCGAAAATTTTATTTTTATTTTTTTCTTCGCTTTCTGATAAATCTTTCGTTTCGCTTTTCCGATAAATCGTATGAAAAAAATAGTAGCGGCCTAAAAAATACTTAACGCGATAACCCATGCATGCGCCAATCGTCGTGAAATTCGATTGGAGCAGCAGCAGCGGCCACTGATATAATTCCGTGGGTATTTACGTGGGAGCCACGTTGCTCTCGGGTCTTGTCGCTCCTGCAGCAGACTCAGATTTTCCTCTCGAAGTAACTAACTTCAACTGATTCGACAAACGAAGCAAAACCTTAGAGCGGCCGGAAGGAACGAGGGGCGGAGAGGCGCTACGTGGAAAACGAAGTGAACTTACTTTGCCGGGGTAGCGAACTAAGAGTCGCGTTCAGTATAGGTTAGGCGGGGTATCGCTTGGACGTTCCAGGTACAGTCAGACGAGTAAAGGTACCGCGTGGAAAAAAAGAAGAGCGTCCGTTGGAATAAATTTTGCAAAAGGGCCACTAATAAAAAGTCGCTCGTTATCGTTTTCGCTACGCTCCGAAGCTTTTGGCTCGGACGGTATGCAAAAGTATCCCGTGAATCGTGAGCGATGATTCTCGTCGGTGGGCCTCTTTGCATTGTCTCGAATGCTCGATTAACGGTCTGCGCGTTTGACAGTCGAGTAAACAGGCTGATTTTACTCGGGAAAAGTTTCTTCTCCGGGAATAACGGAAGCGAAAGAAATTTCTTAAATCCTCGCTAATTTCTACTCTGCGCAATTCACCTGTCCGAGCACGGATCGACGCTGGGTTCGGCAATTAGGTTGGTCTTTGTGGAGGAAATAATTATCGGGAGGCAAACGGAAGACGTTGGGACTTTATTTGGCTTTTTTTTTGTATGAGATTTTTTTTTCTTTTGCGACGTAAAATGTAAATTGCAAAAAGTCGAATGTCGAAGGCGACTACGCCGGCGTCGAATTATTTTAACATTTCGTACCCCTACTCTCTTTTCGTATTCAGAGCGCGAACCGCGGCTGGGAACTGAAAACATATATGTTTTCACCAACACTGCAAGATACGATATTTGTGATTTCCGTGGCGTCGCTGTACGTGATTTAAAACACTGACGGGGGACGTTCACGTTTTCAACATTTTTATTCCACTTCGTACAGTCCGCGCAGTGTCAATTTTATTTTGCTTCTCTCTGACAATGCGCTCGATACGATAGAGCTCAGACAGGCGAGTGCAGATGCGGGGGTACCGGATGCTGATAAACGTGAAAATAAATATTCGTACTACTCGTTAAATCGGACACGCCAGTGCAGACGCGGACGTGCCGGATGCTGATAAATATGAAAATAAAATATATGAAAATAAATATTCGTATTACTCGTTAATTCGTAATAACACGCTAACTTGATTTCGACGATCAATGCAAATAATTGCAATGCCATTTTATTCGCACGCCTTGGCGTACCTGTTTACCCGTCCGAGTCTCGTTCGACGGGAACTACCCTCGATAATCGCCATCGAACAATTGGTCAAACGAATCGTCACGAGGCCTTGAATGTATCGTTATTACGTTTCGACGAATCCCTATAGCCGGGATAGATGCGTATTTATTGATTAATTAAAAAAGTTACTGCGGGTTACTCGGAAATGGACAAATCACCAAGGTATTTACATGAGGTTAATATCAGCAGAGAGGGCGCATCGGCTTTGCGTTAGCTGAGGATTTCCTGGGGGATAGGATGGCGAAGAGAAAAAGCGTTCTGGAGCCATCAAAAAGACAGGTCGGGTAGCCGAAAGGAGGTGTCGCCGTAGCCAGACGCGCCGCGTTTAATTTTTCGTGACGCGCGAGACAATCGTGAAAAAATCTTGAAAGCAATCCCATGAAAATGTGTCGGCGGGCTTCTTTTAAAGAATGAAAAAAAAGCCCGGGTCCTTGGC